GTGTATATTTCTTAGTGTATGAATATTAATAGGTAATTAATCACTTATTAATTTTCCTTTCGATAAGTCCCTTTATTAATCACGGATCGCCACAGTGGAATGATCCGCCAACTTATCCTTCATATGTGTTACACTGTGGATGCCCTTCCAGCCACAACCCAGCACACTGAAAAACACCCATTCACTCCTGCATTCACACTCATACACTACGGCCAATTCAACTTGTTTAATTCACCTATAGCACACGTCTTTGGACTGTGGGAGAAACTGAAGCACCTGGTGGAAACACACGCCAACATGGGGAGAACAAGCAAATTCCACACAGAAATGCCAACTGACCCAGCCAGGACTCGAACCAGTGATTTCCTTACTGTGAGGTAACAGTGCTAACCACTGAGCCACGGTGTTGCTTCAATGAATAATTAATTATATTTAATATGCAATGGAATATATTTTGCTACATTATATTTGTATTTTAAGTAGGTCATTACTTTATAGAGTGTTGTACTGTTACCCCATCAACATTTAATTACAGCAATCATGCTATTCTTGAGCAGTTTGTGCTAGGATTGTCATTTAAATGGCATCTGTCATCCCAAGCCAGTTGCTAGTAGGAATCGGGGCAGGTACTAGGAGAAAAAAAAAAAAACACTATTAAAATGATAACCCAGAAATCATGTTATTTTCTGCACAGCACTGCATATGAGTTATGCTGCAGAAATGCTGTGTGTGTGAAAGCAGCACTTGATCCTGCTGATGCGGTAACGCTGTCTCAAACAAGCCAAAGCCTGAATTTCAAGTCCGGTCACAATCCACAAGGACATTGTGATCTCTTACACACATTCACTCTTTCTGGTTTCTACAGAGCTTCTCTGCCTTGTTTTGTATGCTAAAATGTGCACGACTCTGATAAGCCATACATGCTGAACTTCCCGTTAACTGTGGCTGTGTGAAAGCAGATGTTCAGATGCTCATTAATTAAGTCTCTATCTGCTTTCTCAGGATGATAGGGAAGGATGCTGGAAGGCAGTGAGTTTAGTGTGTGTTTGTGTGTGTGTGTGTGTGTGTGTGTGTGTGTCTGTGTTTGTTCTTTTTTCAAACCCACACATATAGAGTGATATTTTCCTTTTTATATGCTTTCCTATAACACTTGGTACTCGCACAGAAAAGTAAAACATCATAATCATAGATGGTAAATAGCGAAGGAGGTACCTGTATTTAAATAGTTTTAATTTATAATTATTTTAAAACCATGAATATATTTATTTAAAATAATATTAAATACATTTTCACTAACTTTAAAAGTTTTACACAACTCTATATTTAAAAAGTGCAACATAAATAATTATAAAATTAATAATAATTTTAAATTAAAAAAATATTATTATTTTTATTAATTTAAAAATGTATAATTTTAATTAAATATTAAATTAATGATGTATAAAATAAATACACAAATATTTTTAAAGGTGCTTCATTTAAGTTTTTGACTCCTCTAAAGCATAAAAAATACCATAATATGTTTGTAGATGTTTTAGAAGCATGCTAAGTGAACAATCTTGTTTATCTGAAAAACAACGCTAAAGTCAGATATTCTGCTTTAAAAATGTGTGTTACATGCTGGAATGGCTGTCTTTGTTTTGGTCTCTTTAACCTGCCCAATGCCAGTTTAGCCAATTGTATTTCAGCACCCCACGTTGCCTTTGTGAAAAACAGCATATTTATTTTATTCAGTCAGGAAGACTCTCAAACCTCTCACCTCCATTGAACAGTAACAGCCTCAGAAATGAGACGCAGATTCAGACTTCCACATGAGGTGGTTATTAATCAGCAAACAATTTTAATATCATGAACGTAAACAATAAGTGAGCAGGTTACATTGTAAGAAACCCCTTGTCCTAACAGCAATCCATGTGAGGAGATACGCAGTGATTTAGCTGTTATGTGAGGAGTAAAGTAATTTAGCTGTTTGCACCAGATGAAATATGACAGAAATTTAAATTCAGCCATTCCAGATATACCTTAAAAACCGTTATCATCCCCTGCCTAATCTAAGGTTGTCATTGTCATAGTTTTCTATTGTTCAGCTGCAGGAAATAGAAGCCGTTTCTTATGTTTCAGGTGTTGGTTAGGACAAAAACTCACTTTAATATGTAAAACATTCCATCATGGGCCATTGCTTTTAGTTAGAACACAAATCAGCCTTTAGGTTCAATAGTCAGGCAGGTAGTCCTGTTGGTGTCGGCAATCTGGCAACCAGGCATGCAATACCTAGCTCAACCACTGGGTGTCAAACTTGCACACCGTAATATAGCACATATATAATATGAATATATATACATAACATTTTTGTTTTAGATTTTATTAGAAATATTGTTTTAGCAACTAGCGGAAATAAAATACATTCTTTTTATAAGTAATCATTATTTTCATTAAATTTTTTTAATTATTATAATCCTAACTTTAGGTTTTAATATGACTACCTTAATTTAGTGAATAAATGAAAATCTGTTTTAAATAATACGCTTTTGAACTTTTATTATAAAAATGTATATAAACATTAAATATTTAAATGATATATGTTAGGTAAAAGGCGACACAGTGGCGTAGTGGGTACCACATTCACTTCACAGCAAGAAGGTCACTAGTTCGAGCCTAGGCTGGGTCAGTTGGTGTTTCTGTGTGGAGTTTGCATGTTCTCCCCTTGTTCGTGTAGGTTTCCTCAGGGTGCTCCGGTTTCCCCCACAAATCCAAAGACTTGTGCTATACAGGTGAATTGGGTATGCTAAAAAAATTGACCGTATTGTATATGTGTGAATGAGTGTGTGTGGATGGGTTGCAGCTGGAAGGGCATCTGCTGCTTAAAACAATCCTGGATAAGTTGGCGTTTCATTCTGCTGTGGCGACCCGTGATTAATAAAGGGACTAAGCCGAAAAGAAAATGAATGAATGAATGAATATTAAATAAATTCGCTTTCTAGTTTATTAAATACATCCATAGGTGATTTATTTATTTAGCTCTTTGTACAGATGTTTCTTGTTTTCTTTCATTATGTATATCCCTAATCATTTTTCTACTGCCTTACAGCATGTCTAGAGTTCATTATTTTCAGCTTGCTATGCGTGTTGTCTGTTTTACCTAACCACTAAACATCTCCAGTATACCCTTTCACTAGTGTATATGAAGCTTTTATTCTGATTGTACTTATTCCGTGCTTTTGACTGGGTTCCAGGTACAGGTGGATGAATATAAACAGCTGAAGGACACGCTTGATAAGATGCCCAGTCTGAGAAATGCAGCCGTACAACCGCAAGCACCTGTACAGCTAGTCCAGAACAAGAACATTGATGAACCCCAACAACCCAAGCAAGAGGTAATAAACCCTTTCACATTACCAGTAGGGCTGCACAACATTTAATTCAGATGCCAAAACACTCACTTTCCTGTCAAATGATTAAAAATGCATGAACCAATTGGTACAGAGAATCAAATAGTTCAGTTTATGATTTCCTTAAATTCATTCATTCATTTTCCCACGGCTTAGTTCCTTATTTATCAGGGGTTACCCCAGCGGAATAAACCGGCGACTTATCCAGCATATGTTTTACACAGTGGATGCCCTTCCAGCCATAACCCAGCATTGGAAAACACCATACACACTGATTCACACTCACACACTACGGCAAATTTAGTTCACCCAATTCACCTATAGCGCATGTCTTTGGTCTGTTGGGAAAACTGGAGCAGCCGGGGGAAACCCACAGCAACACGGGGAGAACATGCAAAAAGAAATGCCAACTGGTCCATCCGGGACTCGAACCAGTGACCTTCTTGCTCTGAGACGACAGTACTAACCACTGAGCCACCATACCGCATTTGATTCCATCACATTCTGAATCAATTTCATTCAAAATGTTAGTTAAATGCGTCTGTCCGGATCTGTTTGTCAGGTGGTAAAACATGAGGAGGTGGAGGAGCCCCAGTTGCACCACCAGGAGGAAGATGGAGAGATGGGGGGAGCGGAGGAGAGGAGGAGAGAGCTGGCAGAGGAGGAGATGGAGCAGGCTGGACAGCCTCAGAAACTGGAGGAGGAGTTTGATGGAGTGCATAATGAAGTGGAGGAAGAGGAGGAGGAGCCACAGGCCGGCCAACCAGATGAAAACGCAGTGGAGAAGGAGCGGCATCATGCTCAAGAGGTCTGAACGCTAATGAGATGCAGACAAATGATCAATACACTACTATTGGCTACATTATTCCTACAAGTTAATGCAGTTATTTGTTTGTTTTATTTATGTATTAAGTGTTAATAAAATGTATTAATGTTTCGTAAGAATATGCTTTACAACTGGGATCACCAAACTTGTTCCTGGAGGTCCGGGGTCCTGCAGATTTTAGCTCCAACCCTAATCAAACACAACTGAACAAGCTAATCAAGCTCTTACTAGGTATACTTGAATATACTTGTGTTGAAGGCAAGTTGGAGCTTAACCCTGCAGGGCACCGGACCTCCAGGAACGAGATTGGTGACATCTGTGCTACAAGGTTCTGTTAATTTGAACAAAAAAAGTACAGGAGTCATATGGCCATGAAAAACCTGGAAAAGTCATGGGTTTTGACAAAAGTTTTGGAAAAGTCATGGAAATTAGTTTAAGAAATATCTGTATACTTGAGTGTGGCTGTGCGATATTGGAAAAATCTGACATTACAGTATTTTGTATTTCTGTGATGTATATTGCGATGTGAATACAATTTCACCAGATGATTTGGCAGGTTTATTTTGATTGATTGGGGGATTTTGTAGGGGAGTGAATCTCGAATAATGTATTACAAATAAATTACAAGGATAGATAAATTAAATATAGCAAAGACAAAAGTAAATTATAGATTTCAGGTATTCACTATTCAGGTACAGATATTGAATGATCAACACTGCACAGTCTTCATTGTATATTATTCAATCTTTATTAAAGGTACAAAAAAATTCTTGTGGGTGACGCAATGCAAATGTAATGTACTGTAATGTGTATTTGACCAGGACACAGGGGTTACACCCCTGCTCTTTCACGAGAAGTGCCATGGGATTTTAAATTACCACAGAGAGTCAGGACCTCGGTTTAACGTCTCATCCGAAAGACTTGGCGCAGTAGGTAGTGCTGTCGCCTCACAGCAAGAAGGTCGCTGGTTCGAACCTCGGCTCGACTCAGTTGGCGTTTCTGTGTGGAGTTTGCATGTTCTCCCTGCGTTCGCGTGGGTTTCCTCCGGGTGCTCCGGTTTTCCCCACAGTACATGTGGTACAGGTGAATTGGGTAGGCTAAATTGTTCGTAGTGTATGAGTGTGTGTATGAATGAGTGTGTGGATATTTCCCAGAGATGGGTTGCGGCTGGAAGGGCATCCGTTGCATAAAAAAAGTGCTGGATAAGTTGGCGGTTCATTCCGCTGTGGTGACACTGGATTAATAAAGGGACTAAGCCGACAAAAAAAACGAATGAATGAAAATTTCTTGTGGCCGGATGTTTTAAAATGTGAAATATATTAAATATTGAAATATTCACACAGTCACAGGCCTTAAAGGAACAGTTTACTCAAAGAATAAAATGTACTCACTATTTACACACTTTTCACTTGATTCAATAGTATAGGAGTTATTAAATTATATTCTTTTTGTATTCATTTAAAAAAGAAAACTCATAAATGTTTAAAACAAGTAAAGGGTAGAATGAAAATGGGAAGTAATTTTTGGGTGATCTGTCTCTTTATAAATGCATGCAGATGATAAACTTTTACTCCAATATTAAACTCTATATTAAACTATATTACATTGCATATCCTGCGACGTGACCATTGCGGATGCACACATTGCGATATTGATGCTAAAACGATATATTGTGCAGCCCTAACTTGAATATAGGTTAGTTGTCATTATTTCTTTTCTGTTCTTGGCCAAAAACTTGCTCTCACATTGTTAGTGCTGTTTAAACATTATCAAAATAATTGTACAGAGATATAAAAACAAATTTAAACTAAATAGATTGTTGCGTGTTCTATGATATGCTGTAATAAATATGAACGTCATTATTTTTCTTATTATTTACCATGTATACGTAAACAATTCATGAATTAATAGGTCATGAAAATTTACTTGAAAGTTCTGGAAAAATCTTGGAAAAGTGATGGAATTTTTGTAGTAAAATGTGTATGAACACTGAAAGTAGCAGCGGTAATTATGTGAAATATTATTAGAATAAGAATAATTACTCTTTATTTTAATATGTGATGTAATACAAAGCTGAATCGTCAGCATAATTTTTCCAGTTTTTCAGCATCACATTATCCTGTAGATCATTGTAACATGCTGATTTGCAGAAACGCAATTGCTGAATGGAGCATACGCCAACCTACATATCCTAAGAATAAAATAAAATCAATCATTTCTGTTCAATAGTAAGCCAACTCTTATCCTTTTGATTCGCATATTTTCTTGTGCAGTTGAATTCACAGAATTTCTACAAAGTATGTTGCATACTGTAAACTCGCAGACGTTTTTCGTTACATCCATAATGCGTGTTTATTTTCCTCATTTAAAATCTAAAAAAAGTTTACGGATTTACATTTTTCTGATCCTGCACTCTCAAAAAAAAGGGTACAATGTTGTACCAAAGACGGTACAGACCCTTGTCACAGCAGCAGTACCTTTTTATGGAACAGAATTGTACCTTAAGACTAAGGCCCCGTTTACACTAATGCGTTTTCGTTTTAAAACGCATAAGTTTTGCTACAGTTACGCCATCCGCCCACACTGCGCCGGAGTTCTCGAGCGCCGTAAACGGAGCGTTTTGAAAACGCTGGAGAGGCCGTTTTCATTCTAAAACGTTGCTGCTCCGTTTCAGTGTGGATGAGGAAAAAACGGAGACATCTGAAAACGGAGGCGGGGCTGCTGAGATTCGCTACCTGATTGGGGCTTTTGTATCATTGCGTATCCTTCCCTTATTCGTCAATTCCCTATCACATGACTATAACACATGGCTTTAACGCTACCGGAAGACAGTACTGTAAACAACAACATGGGCACAGAAATGGGAGCGTTGTTTGCACTATTGTCTGTTTTAGGCGCCATTGTGCAGTTATTCATTTGTTATGTTTAGTAACAACTCGACTTCGTCGTCTGTCCACAAAAATACCTCTCTTGCTTTCTTTGCCATCGCGTTTTTAATGTACAACTGGCGTTTGTTGACTAACAAAAACCAAATGCCCAGCGAGATGCATGCTTTCTGTTTATACTAGAACACGCATGCCCAATGGACCATTGCACGCAAATGGTCACGTGATATACGTTTTTGGTGGCGTAGTGTGGACGGAGATATGTTCAGAGACACTAGGTAAAACGCTAGTGTGGATGCGGATCGTTTTTGATCTAAAACGCCGTTTTAAAACTAAAACGCACTAGTGTAAACGGGGCCTAAAAAAACAAATTTGTACCATTGCAGTTTGTACCTTTAAGACCATGATTTGTACCATGGGAAACCAAAATGTACCTTTGGTGTTTAAAACTTGCAGAGTCAATATTGTACCTTCATCAAAGATACAAATCTGATCCATGAAGGTACCACTACAGCAGGGGTGGCCAACCCTGTTCCTGGAGAGCCATCTTCCTGCAAAATTCAGTTGCAATCCATATCAAACACACCTGCCTGCAATTATCACGTGGTGTTCAGGTCCTTATTAATTGGTTCAGGTGTGTTTGATATGAGTAGCAACTGAAATCTGCAGGAATGTGGCTCTCCAGGAACAGGGTTGGCCACCCCAGCACTACCGTGACAAGACACTTTGTCCCTTAAGTATCAAATGTGTTCCTTCAAGAACTATTTAAAGGCATTTTGCTTTATCCAAAATGTGTCAATTTGTTTTCAGTAAATATCAAACATCAAATACAGTTTTAAACCATGTTTTTTTAAAGTTTCTTATTGTATAAATGCAACTTTTCCATTTACAAAAATTTATAAAAAATACTTGAACATAAATCAAGATAATTTTTTTTCCTAAACATTTCACAGCACTTTTCACAAAAATGTTACTGAAACACATTCTCCCATGCACAATTTAAAACATTTTTTTCTAATTTTTTAGAAATTAGATTACAAATACCTTTGTAATCACTTAAAAGTTAATTTATTTACTTAATTTAAAAATAGAGCACAAATAGTAACAAGATATGCACAATGTTTGATTAGTTTTACAATAATAAAATGTCTGCATGAACACTTTGCATATGCAGGACTTTTGCCAGCTCACGTGCGTAGTGGAACGCAAACGTCAAAAGATGCGGATATCAATAATGAAAATGTATTTATCAGAAAATGCTTAACAAATGTTTATTAAAATGCCTTCAATGTTTAGTTTACAATATAGTTTTGTTTTACCAGTTGTTTTGTTTTATAGAACTTGGCTCAATAATGGCTCATGTTTTAATATTGAAATTATTCATAAACAGTACAGAACAGTATCATATCAGGTCTTTTCCTTACCATTTAAAGTAAAATTTTTTAAAGGTACAAAACTTTCTTCTTAAGGAGCATTATTTGTACCACCGTGTACCTTTTATTCTGAGAGTGAATACCTCTGTGGTTTGGAAAATGTAAATAGATGCTTTAATATAATGTTAACTTATTCTTTCTCTGTGAACTTATGTTTTGAGTTTTTTTTTTTTTATATATACTTTACTTTTATTTATCTTTTTTAAGGAAAAAAAACAGGGAAAAAATACAAGTAATGGATTTAAATAAAATAAAATAAATTAAATAATACAATAAAACACCAGAACTTAAATGAACAGTTGACTGGTCACATATTTCCTTACAGGTCATATGAACAAATACACATCGAAATCAGATTACACTGTGTAAAAGCATAAGTACAATCCATTTCTCCCAATATTGCAGGTATTTGTCCATTTGTAGTTTTAAAGAAAAAGTCATCCTCTCCATCTTTTGAACATTAGATATGATATCCAATCATTCAAATTTCGTAGGGGTTTTCAGTTGTAGCCACTTTTGAGTCACAGTTTTCTTACTGGTTGCTTGGAGTATTTTTAATAAATACTTGTCTTTTACCATTAAGTTGGCTGCAATATTTCCCAGATAAATTGTTGTAACAGAAAAATCCACATCATCACTAAAAATGTTTCGTATTACTTGCATAACGTCCTGCCAGTATGACTGAATGGATGGGCAACTCCAAAATATGTGAAAGTGGTTTGCCAAGTCTTCTCCACATTTCCTCCAGCTCTATCCCCTGTCCTTCTCCTGTGTTTGCATATATTTTGAGTTTTTACTGCAGATGTCATATTCATATAGCTGGAATTGCTCATAATTATTTTTTTTTTATTCTTAGCTATTCCTGGTTCATCCTTAAATACTAACTCTATTTTCTGTTTTTGTCCTGTTGTTTGTCCCTCCCTCTTCTGCTCTTCCCGCAGGTGGCACCAGCTGAAGGTCATGCGCAGGTGGAGCGGGTGAAGTCTGCTTATGAACAGCAGCAGGAGCAGCAGCGTCTGGCGGCACAGCTGGCGGAGGAGCGCAGACAGCTGCATCTGCGTCAGGAGGCCCTGCAGAAGCAGCAGCTGCAGCAGCAGAAGGAGAGAGAGGAAAGACTACGCCTGCAGAGAGAGAGAGAGGAGCAGCTGAACCGAGAGGCAGATCTCAAAGAGCAAAAACTCAAGCAAGAGATGCTCCGGTCAGAATTACTGCTAGTTATTTATTAGACTATTAGCTTCTCAATCTCCTGGTCCTCGCTGCCCCCTGTTATTTCTATAGCGCTTTTATAGTGTAGATTGTGTCAAAGCAGCTTAACATAGAAGTTCTAGTAAATTGAAACTGTCAATCCAGTTCTTAGAGTTGAAGTACAGTTCAGTGTATGTAATTTTTACTACTGAAAGCCAAAACACTGAGGAGCAAATTCAATGATGTGCAGCCCCACAACCTATGCATATAGTGGGGGAATTAAGTATTAAAAGTCATTATTTTTCTCAGAAAACATATTCTTAAAGGTGCTGTGGACTTTGTGGACTGTGAAATTTTCACCAGATGTTGATAACAACCAAAGAAATCCATAAATGCAAAGAAAAAAATCTAATTAGTTTATAAATTAAGTTATGTGTAATAAAATGAAATGACACAGGGAAAAAACACATGAAGAAAGGGAGGTGTGTGAAGTCCAGTGAAAGCCCAGATAGCAACCCTCAGCCCTTCCTCATTGTAAATTAAAACCAGCTGCTTCAGTCCAAAATCTACATTAGCTGTTGAAAATGAAACCAGTGTGGGCATTTCAACAAGACAATGGTCCAAAACAGAGCCAAGGAAACTCTCAAATGCTTTCAGAGAAAGTAAATCAAGCTGTTGAATGGCCCAGCCAAACACCTGACTTGAATCCAATAAAAAATACAAAATAAAGCTCAGATTTGATAGACGAGACCCACAGAACCAAAAAAAAAAAAAAAATCACACTTGAGCTATGCATGTACGGGAACTTCATTTTTCATATGAGCGGCGTCATTAAGCTGCCACTACTTTAGAGGTTTGTTCCCTAAGTGGCCTGTGAAGCTGCAAACATTTTTGTAGCGGGAATCATTTATTTTTAGATATTAAGTGCTTAGCATAAATAAGTATAGTCCGGTTTTGAAAATGAATTCTCAGTGAATATAGTTCATATATTTTGGTGCATTTCATCAAAACAGATTTAATAAACTAATAAATTCATTAAAATAAGAGTTTGGTCTCCTAACATCTTTAGAAATAGAAAGATAATACATTTAAATTTAATTAAAATACTGCAAAAAAAAATTCTTAAGTTTATATTTATATATTTTGTTTCTCTTGATTGATTTATTTTTTCCTCTCTAAAAAAAAAAAAAAAAAAAAAAAAATCCCTAATATGCAATTTGGGTGGAGTAATATTATTGTAAGTTTTTGTGTTACTTTAGTTCCAATTGAGTTTTTTTTATCCGATTTTCCCTGTGCAAGGAGTAGAGAGCAGTGAACACTATGTAGGAAAAGATGTGTTGATCGGAACACTTCTTTCTTGGAGCTCTCTTCTAATGAGCTGGGTATTTAAATCAGGTGTGTTAAGCCAAAGAGACATGCAAAATAAGCCGTTTTTGGGGACCACAAGGACCATGAGAACCACTGATTTAATACACTAACTCTATCATGAATGAGATTTAGGGCTCTATTTTGACGATTCATGCGCAAAGCGCAGGGCGCAAAAGCAATTAGGGCTTGTCAGAATCCACTTTTGCTAATATAAGGACGGAAAAATTCTATTTGTGCCATGGTGCATGGTTTAAGAGGGTTAAGCTTATTCTCTTAATGAGTTATAGGTGTGTTTTAAGAATAAAACAAACAGAGTCTCATCTCCCATTCCCTTTAAGAGTCAGTTGCGTCACGCCATAGTGCATTTGCTACTTACATGACAGACTTCGTAAGTGGAAAAACTGAGCATTTCACTAGCAAGAAAACAGTTAAACAGAGCATCTACAGCCCGAGAATGAGAGATGAGCCTCCTCATTCTTTACTTTCACTTTCACGCTTGTGGATGGGGAAACGTGTTGTATGCACAGACATCCATTAGCCTATAAATAATTAATTTCGTTTGTTAAGTGCAAATATAGTTTTCAAAATTATTTCTAAATTCAGTTCTAATTTCCAGCAAATGAAAAAAATGAACAATAATAACGAAGTGTGCTCACAAAACTGAGTTATATCCTAATACACATGCTGCCATGCCCCATATGGTCTAAAATCTGACAGGTGGGCAAATCTAAGCTTGTTTTTAATAAAACAAATATACATATGCATACAATAATAATAATACACAATAATGCATATATAATAATACTGCTAATAATAATAACATTATACAAAAGCAAATTGTTAAGCATAAATTGAAAAAGCCCCACGAGATGAAGAAGGCATGAAGGTATGGTTTTTATATTTATGTAGGCAAGAAAATAATAATTTTTGTAATATTTTAATCCTTTATCTTTATATCCTATAGGCTATATATCCTTAATAAATCCTATATATATCCTTAATATTTAAATTATTTTTCATTTGTAAAGATATTTGCGTATTGTTGTACATCCTGTGTGTATTAAGCAATGTGTAAGCATGGTGCACAACTAATACGCTCTGCTCTAAACAATAGATCGGCTTTGTTCTGATCTATTTGAACCTTCTATTTAAGTTCCTCAAAACAGCAACGCGCCAGCAATGCGCCTCAACATGCCTTCCTTTTTAGACCAGAACGCCTATGGGTGCACATATGAGCGCAAATGCATTTGCTATTTAAACAGCGTGGCGCAAAACATCAAAAAGACTCTTGCGCCAAGCTGAAACTAGCAAACAACTATTGCGTCGCACCTTGCGCCGCATTGGGCCGGGTGTATGATTGGGCCCTTAAATATAGTTTTATGCTCTAATAGAGCACATTGCTTTGATTTTCCAACAAATAAGAGCATCAGTCAGTAAATAGTGTTATTTAATACAAAATATAAACAACAATTACAATTATTTTTAACAATAATTTGTGTGTTAATGAATGCTGTTCATGCATGCATGTTTAGAGGCTCTTCTTGTCACTATGATTTACTTTTTCACATTTGACGGTCACCTTTGTATTAAGTGACCTGTATTGCATTGAAAGTTTCTCAGTTCTTTTCCCCTTACAAATCAAACTCACCACCTTAGAGAAGGCTGATATAGACCTGGAATGTATTTTATAAATCTGTTTCTGTTTATTTATTAGGAAAAAGGCAGAATATGAAAACATGGATGCTGATATAGTGCAGGGAGAAGAAGAGGCACAAATAGCCGAGGAGAAAGGTGACTGTTCATTTGTTTTGACCATGTTTACTTTAATCTGTTTTCTTGAGTGTTTTAATATCAGAGGGTGATTTTCATGTGTTTTTGTGATTTGTAGAGGAGAACGCACTACATGAAGATCCAAGGCAAGGTGAAGAGGACAACGTTCACCATGAGGAGAAGGTGTTTTACCTTATGTTGTTATAAACACACACATGCACCTTTGTTCTTATAAATTGGGCTTGAGAAAGGCATTTTCTTCACAGAATGAGCAGTAAAAATGGGGCAATAAAAATATTTATTTTAGATAATTTATACATGGAGTCTTTTACAACCAAGATAATTTAATGCATTATAAAACAAAATGGGCAGTTGTTTTTATTTGTTTTTTTTAACTTTCAAATTCTTCTTGGGTCATTTTCATTCATTAAAAACTAGGGATGTAACAATATTGTAAATACTGTCATACCGCAAAAGTAATTTTTTTTCAGTATTACCATAGGCGCATGACTCAATAAAACTATATTTCTGAGAAAAGTTTGCTTAGGCGAATGAAGCGAACGGGTGGTAGCGGGAACTACAATTCCCATCAGCCCAGGCGTGGCCATCATCCTTTGCTGTCTGTTGTTACTACAGATCCAGTAATGCGGAAATGGAGTGTGTGAACCTAAAGCGGGTTTTAAATCGGATATGTGAAAGTATTTCGGTTTCTTTCTAAAAAGATATAAAAAAGGAGAAAAGGTGACAGACAAAATAAACAACGGTATGCATGAACTGCCAGACTGGTGAAATATAAGTCGGGGAATACGACTAAAATGGGGGCTGCAGAACACAGCATACTTGTTAGATTTTTTGCAGACATTGACTTGTACCGCAAAGAGACCTCTATCTCACTCATGGCTTGTCCTCTCAAGTGGTGGAAAGACAATGCACAACGTTACCCACTGCTGTCAACCTTGGCTAAATCATATCTCTCTGTCCCAGAAACCTCAGTCCCAAATGAGAGGGTTTTTTTCTGTTGGCGGGGACATTGTTAATGCCCAAAGATCCCAGAATTTATTTATATGATAATTTTCCTTTAAAAAAAAAAACATCTCTATCTGAGTAATTGATTAAATGTTGAATGTGATGAGTTTTCAACAATACTAAATTGAAACTTTATTTTTTTTATATGGTTTAATAGTTTTTTGTTATTAAAATTGAAAAATTGAAGTTCCTGTTTCAAAACTTACAGGTAGATGGCTAATTTGTATGTCATTGATATGTTCAGTGCTAAGGTAAATAAACACTTCTGGCACTTTTTTCGAGTCTTTTCATTAGTTTTGTTTTCCTGTAAATTACTCAATAAATACCGTACCGTGCCATTCATACCGAGGTATTACCGTACCGTGAAATTCTGAGACCGTTACATCCCTATTAAAAATTAAACTATACACTACCTAACCAAAGTCTTGTCGTCAATCCCAGTTGTAAGAGCAACAAATAATAACTTGACTTCTAGTTGATCATTGCATACTGATGAATAATGTGTGCATGTAATATACATCTATATAGTGCATTTATTGTGTATTGCTATACAAAGCACTTTTATGATCAATGCATTAATTTGACAGCGACCAGTAGAAGCGGATGTTGATCCAGAGGACGACCCCAACAACCAGGGTGAGGATGAGTTTGAGGAGGCTGAGCAGCAGCATCATCATGAGGAGGAAGAGCCAGCACCCGTCGGCCACCCGGACATGCACCCACATGCTGAGAATCAGCACCAGCCACCCGCAGAAGAGCAACTGGTGGTAAATGACAGCTTGTTTTGCAGATGATACTGTGATACTACATTTAAAATTATAATTATTTTATGAAATATTTTTTTTAATTATATAACTATGCATACAGCTGAAGTTTGAAGTATTAGCCCTCCTGAATTGTTAGCCCCAATTTCTGTTTAATGGAAAGATTTATTTCAACACATTCCTAAACATAATAGTTTAGATTAGATTCATGATGACAGTACACAATATTTCACTAGATATTTTACTAGGTATCAAGATACTAGTATTTAGCTTCAAGTAGCATTTAAAGGCTTAACTACTGTAGGTTAATTAGGCAAGTTAGGTTAATTAGTCGTTGCATAGCAGTGGTTTGTTCTATTTATAATCGAAAAAATATATTGAGAGTGCTAATAATATTGACCTTAAAATGTTTTTTTTTTTTTTACTGCTTTTATTCTAGACAAAATAAGACTTTCTCCGGAAGAAAAAATAATTATCAGACTTACTGTGAAAACTTCCTTGCTCCGTTTAACATCATTTGGGAAATATAAAAAAAATTCACTGGAGGGCTAATAAATTTGAACTGTATGATGGTTGCCCAATGAGACTTCTCTTTTGGATAGAGCTATATGGATTTTTTTAGGCAACGCAAGTTTATTTATATAGCACATTTCATATAATTTTCATCAAATATATTTTGGATCGTCTACATTTAGAGAGAACCCATGTACAATGTACACATGCACAGTTGAAGAATTATTCGCCCTCCTGTGAATTTTTTTTTTCTTTTTCAAATATTTAATAATTAATGTTGTTTAACAGAGCAAAGATTTTTTTTACAGTAAGTCCTATATTATTTTTTCTTCTGGAGAAAGTAGTAATAGCCCCTTTAAGCAATATTTTATTTTTTTGATTGTCTAAAGAACAAACCATCGTTCTATAATGATTGCCTAATAGGGTATATGCCGAGCTAGTGCTGTTCCCATGCTGATACACTTCCGGTGACCTGTTATTGTGAACTTTTTCCCATTTTATACGGTTCCTTATACAGCATCGATGTTGTAATGGCATTAAAATACATTCAGTTAAATAAACTTTAGCATTTATTTATTTGCTCAAACGTAAAACGAGACAAAAAGCCGTTTACTCGCACGCGCCCGTCAGAATCGGCAGGCTAACGCAGAAGCTCCATTGAATATACTGGGGTAAAATAAATGCTCATATTATAAAGACATGGCGGGGGAAATGTAATTTAATTCAGTGCTTCTTGTACAATCTGAGACCCACTTAAAATCGGATATCACTCAGCCAGTGGAGATCTCTGATTTTTAAAGAAAACAGACCTTAAACGCACCGGATTTTGCATTGGCATTCAATTCGCCGGAAGTGCTTAACCCAGGTTAATGGCAAATTAAAAGTCCTATTAGCATGCTTCGGCATATACCTTATTACTATGACTTGCCTAATTAAGCCAGTTAAGCATTTACATGTCACTTTAAGCTTTATAGAAGGGTCTTGAAAAATATCATCATGGGAAAGATAAAAGAAATCGGTTATTAGAAATAGTTATTAAAACTATTATGTTTTGAAATGTGCTGAAAAAATCTGTTAAACAGAAACTGGGGAAAATATATACAGAGGGGCTAATAATTCAGGAAGGCTGAAAATCTGACTTCTTTACTTTACAAATTAAAATTATAAACTTAGTTCACAGATTCATATGAAATATACTACAATAAATTTACTCTGCAATTAAAACCCCTTTAAGGCTTAGATTGACCATCTTTAGATGTACTTGCAAATTCTAAACGGGTCTCATGTCTGGAAAAGTTCTACATATACTTCACAGACTTTTAATTTCAGTCGGCCAGTCCCAGGGCTTCCGGTGAATTTTCATGGCGTACAGAAATCGCTGTGTTTAAGATCTGATTTCTTTAAAAAAAACAGCAATCTTCACTGCCTGGCTGAGATACGATATAAAGTGGGTCTCAAACCGGACTAGAAGCACTTCAAATAAATTATATTGCTCCCCGCCATGTCTTTAAAATATGGATATTAATGCTTGCGTCTATTTAACTGATCATATTTTAATTACATTACAACATCGATGCTGTAAAAGGAACCTTATGAAATTAAAAAATAGTCACATAAAGCTCTCACTGGAAGTTCATCATTGGCTGAAAAACACTAGCTGTGCATAGAACCCATAGCCATTTATTGTAAACCAATTTGTTTTTGCGTCTCATTGTCATAATTCGGAGTAAACAGAACTTTTTTGTTTTTGAGACTTGATTTAGTTTGAGAATGTGATATCTAGAGGATATTTGTTATGCAGCAGAGCAAGTCTAAAGTGATGAGTTTTGTTCAGATGCCCGGAAACCCAGATCAGCAGGAAGACGCTCTGGATGAGCAGTACCAGGAGGAAGGAGATGATGAGGTTGGAAAACTAATGCAGTTCTATAAATGAAGCAGGAATGGTTATTTGTTCCCTAACTGTGATTTTGCTTTGTGTTTCTAGGCTCAAGAAGAGCTGGTAGACAATCCCAAGCATGAAGTGGCGCGAGAGGAAGAGGGAGACCCGTATAATGAGGAGAATGTAGAACAGGTACAGCATAGTCTTCTTTCAAATACAAGCCATATTTCTATTCGTTAAAGAATTTTAACTATTGTGTGCTGTTGGGGATTGAATGCTGTTGGGGGTGATTTTAAGTCTTAATTAAACCACAACTTTCTCTGTTTTTCAGCAAATAGAATGAGTTTGGTGAAGAATCTTATTTTGACACTTATTTTGGGAATCAACAGTACACTGGGGAAATTGGCTACCCTTTTGTTATGTTTTTGGCTGTTTTTGCGCCATGGACTTCCATTATAATGACGTTTTTTGTCAATATAGCAGTTAACATTATAACAACAGTAAAATTACACATTTTACCTCTTCCCAATAGGGAAAACAACCAAGAACACTTGATTATATGTTGTCATGGCTTTGCAACCAAAAATATCATTATAATGAAAGTCAATGGGGCAAAAACAGCCAATAACACAACAAAAGGGTAGTCAGTTTGAACAGAACCTAAGGGTTAACATTGATGATGATGATGATGATGATAATAATAATAATAATAATAATAATAATAATAACTATAATAATAATAATAATGATAATAGTTTCTCGTAAATGTGTCGCTGGACCGACAGTATATTTTTAGCAATAGCCAAAACTGCATTGGATGGGTCAAAATTACCGATTTTAATTTTATGACAAAAATCATTAAAATATTAAGATCGTGTTTCATTTTAGGCTTATTTGACCGAATTCCCTTTACTATGAAGAAATAAAAATATGCAATAATTTTTCATTGGTAATGTGTAGGCCCACAAGGAACCTGCATGTGCAGATTTGCACAGTTTTTAGCCCATCATTGAGTGTATTATGTGTGTACATTTTTATGTATTCCGTTTTTAAGGCAATTTCAGTAATATTATTGACCGAATTAAAATGTTCATATGATTTATTTACAATGCAGTTTGTAAAGTAAGATTTTCTGTCTTTTAGTAGATTCATAATATAAGAGACTTGATTTGTTTACCAAATAAGTGGATCTACAGTAATTGGATTAACATTGTAATCATTGAATGAAAGTTAAAAAGGTATTATTTTCATTATATTCAACTATTACATTTTTAGTTATGATACTCCCAAAATCATTCCGCATAAATCCACAGATTTTTAGAAATCCACAAAATTTTCTGCTATTTATTTATTTATTTATTTATTTATTTATTTTTATTTATTCATTTATTTATTTGTTTTTATTAATTTATTTTTATTTATTTATTTTTATTTATTTATTCATTTATTTATTTTTATTTATTTATTTTATTTATCTGTTCATTTTAATCCTCAGATTCATGATTTTCAAGTAGTATCTCAGTCAAATTTCGTCCAAACCTAACAAAGTATACTTCAACGAAAAGCTTTTTTTAGGGTTCAGATTTTAGCTGATGTATAAATCTCAATATCCAAAATTTGTGATCGCTTGATTTGATTTAATACTGAAAGCCGCAGTAATGATACTGAAAATTCAGCTTTACATCACCGTAATAAATGACATTTTAAAATATATTCAACTAGAACACTGTAGGAATAATTGTTCAAAATATTACTGTTTAATTGCTCTGCTGATCAAATGATTGCAGCCTATGTGAACAATCTTTTTAAAGCATCACATCTTTGGAGATAACATTTTTAAAAAGATTTGCGTATTTACTAACACTTTACTATAAGGTCTCATTAGTTGATGTTAGTTAATGCATTTTCTAACATAAACAAACTACATGGATGGGAGACCACATTGAAAAACTAGGTTGCTGTTGGAAGCGGTGTTTGAGAGGCCAGCCGGGGGCAATTAACCTGTGGTCCGTGTGAGTCCTAATGCCCCAGTATAGTGAAGGGGACACTGTAATGTCAGTGAGCGCCGTCTTTCAGATCAGACGTTAAACCGAGGTCCTGACTTCAAATTCCATGTAACCCTGGTTTCCTGGCCAAATTCTCCCTGTCAGCCATCACCCATCATAGCCTCGCAATCATCCCTGTCCACTGAATTGGCTCTTTCACTGACTCTTCACTCCACCAGTAGCTGGTCTGTGGTGAGCTCACTGGCGCTGTTTATCAGAGTATATGCTGCACACCGGTGGTGGTGTGACAAGACCCCCCCCCCCTTCATGATTGTGAAGCGCTTTGGGTGATAACAATCATTAATTTTGGATGTTAATAATGCATTAGTTAATGTCGAACTAAGAATAATAAATGCTGTACATTTACATTTAGTCAAGTTCTGTTCATGATTACCTCATGTTAGTAAATACATTGTGTTAAGCATTATGCATTTGTTATTGTTAAAATGTGAACTATAGGAGCATAAATTCCTCTAGTAGAGCTGTTTGTATAGGAGCGAACACTTTTCATGGTCTCTGACACTGTAATGTATCACAGAGAGTTATGTAGTGCTTACTTGTGTGTTTTCACTTATTCTTTTGTACAAGTCGTCGCTGTAACTGTAGAGCGCAGCGCCACAGTTGGGTGAGACGGATCGATTGCAGTGTCCTCCGCGGTGTCCACTTACTGCCATCAGTCCAGCTCCACTTTAAACATTCATCCTCCATTTTCACCTCTTGCTTTAGATTCAGGGGAAGGTTTCATTTATGCTTGTGTAATCATCTATCAAATCTAGAGCATTTGCTAGAATGTTTAACAGTCTGAGTTTTTAATTAAGTTAGATTAGGTGAGATTAGATTCAACTTTATTGTCATTACACATGTACATGTACAACACAATGCAGTTTAGGTCTACCCAGGAGTGCAAAAGCAGCAAGTGCAGGATATAGATATAAGTGCAATTGATATGTAGAGATGGAGGTACTGTGAACATGATATACAAGTCATGTTAACCAGAATCAGATATTTACAAATGAACATACAGGCAGCTATTAATAATCAGGAATAGGCATATTGCGATTTATTTTTAATATTTTATTCATAATTGTTAGTACTATTTATTTTTATCTTTATTTATTTGATTTTATGTTTACATTTTTATTTTTATATTTATTTTTTCATTTATATATATATATATATATATATATATATATATATATATATATATATATATATATATATATATATATATATTATTATTTATTTATTTATTTCTATATTTATTTTATGTTTTTATTTATATTTATTTTTTATTTATTATTTATCTATTTTTATATAAAAAAATTATATTTTATTTATTTTATTATTTTTTATATTATTCATTTATTTATTTTATATATTTTAAATATAATTTATATTTTATTTATTATTATTATGATTATTATTATTATTATTTGTATTTTATTTATCATTATTATTTATCTATTTTTATATTTTTTTATTTTTTTATTTTTATATTTTCATTTATTATTATTATTATTTTTATATTTATTGACTTATTTATTTTATATTTCATTGTATATATTTGTAATGTTTTTGTTATTATTATTTTTATTATTTATTTTATTTCTATTTTTTATATTTTATTGTTATTATTGTTATTATTTATTTTTATATTTATAAAATTATGTATTTTTATTGTTAATTTTAATTAAAAATTTATATTTATTTTATGTTCATTTTTATATATATTTTATATTTTTATTTTATTTTATTTTTTTCGATTTATTTATTATTATTGTTATTTATTCTGTATTTATTTTTTAGATTTTATTTGTCATCATTATCTATATATATATATATATATATATATATATATAGATTATATATATATATATATATATATATATATATATATATATTATATAAATATTATATATATTTATTTATTATTATTATTATTAACAGCCATACTAAAAAAATAAGATTATCACCATAATAAGAAATACTATGGAAAAATATTTAAAATTTTAACAGGAGAGCTAGTAATTTTGTCATCAACTGTATATAGTTTTCTAGATGGTGCTCTCATTCGTATGTTTATCAATTGCTGTTAATCCCAAACCATCACTTCATTTCTTTTAAACAGCAAACTAAAAGGCCTTGATAGTAAACAACCAGACTTGATGGGTGTTTGTGCACCTTGATGATTTTTACACAGTTCTATTTCTGGTTGTGTGTCTACATAGGAAGATCCCAGAGATCACGGAGTAGCAGTGAAGCAGGACAATCAACCGGCCCAACATCACAATGAAGAAAACTATGAAGACGAAGAAGAGGAAGAAGAAGAAGGTAACGGAGATAAACCACCCATCCGCAGGGCAGAAATGTGAGGTGGGGGAAAGTAAGGACAGTCAATGGCTGCCACTTGTATGGATTGAGATTTCTCGTCCCATTCTCATAAACTTTGTGCCAGGTTTAAGGGTTCTTTTAGGTCAATCGAATGAATAGGAAATGAATGGACTGTGTGACTAAAAACAGAGATGCACCAAAACGCCCTGCTGTCAACCTGTCATCTAAGAAATGGCAGAATACTGTTTCATCTTTGATTTCTTCAGCGGGATGCACCACAACCTCTTGCACTGACAGATTTGCCATGTTTGATCACTATATGCAAGGTAAATTTGGAGGTAAACACTCAAATTGATGGACAGGCAGCCATTGAATGCTCATTTTAGTGTTAATTCATCCTTCTTTGGCTGTTGAATAATGCAGTGCAGTAATATTGCATGCTGGGTGAGTTTGGCAGGACGCTCTCGGGTCACTATGAATGTTTACACATAATTCAAGCCGATAACTGTAGCTGTTTTTTAAAAATGTTGTACTCTCTTTGCATATTTACCATAGTGAGATTACTGAGTAGACATACTGTAAGCCAAATTACATGATTTTCACCAAGTGCCTCTCTAGACATAATACAAAGAACTTTCTCATGTTATCGGTCTTTGCCAGGATGATCTGTTTCTGATGTCTTTGTTGAATTTTGTCTAAAAGTCATTACTCTAGTATAAACCTGTACTAGTGTTCTGCGTGCTACTGGATCTAAAGTCTTATTGTCGATGTATTAAACATAAGACGTTATAGAAATGAATGGCACATTGAAAATTACAATGCATACTATTCAGATGTAGAACAAATTAGATTAAAAGATTTGCGAGGAATGTACTTTAAATCACTATCATTTTAAAAACCTATATATTTATTTTGTCAAGTATTTACTTTGTTTTATATATATAAATGCTATCAGATGAAATCACCTTTTTTATTTTGTGGGGGATTTTTTGATTTATTAGTTGATGTAATATTGGTGAAACCAGCTTTTCCTGTTATTTGTTCAGCTTTATATTCTTTAAACTTTATATTTAAAATAAATATCTTTATATGTACAGTGTTCCTTCTAGTTTTGTTGATGATGGCAGGCGACGTGAGCGAAATAAAAATCGGTGAAAGATTTATTGCTCATCCAATGTTTTTAATCATGCACAAAGTCTGGCAGCTGTGCTGATTTTTTTGATGTTTGCTGACCTTGAGTTGAGGGGAAAGAAATCTTTTCATCCAACATAAATGTAAAAAATTATTATCCCAAAGCAAAATGACAACAAGTGCCCTGCTTTCATCCTGTAGTTCCTGCAAGGCTCATGATATACAGTATAAGGTCACCCAGAGGTAATGTGTAGATTAAGCCCACTGTGTGTCTGTGTGTCTGTGTGTGTGTGTGTGTGTGTGTGTGTGTGTGTGTGTGTGTGTGTGTGTATACACACATTCACATATATATATATATATATATATATATACATATATATATATATATATATATATGTATGTATATATATATATATATGTATATATAAATATATATATATATATATATATATATATATATATATATATATATATATATATATATATATATATATATATATATATATATATATATATATATATATATATATATATATATATATATATATATATATATATATATATATATATATATATATATATATGTATGCATGTATGTGTGTGTGTGTATGTATATATATATATATATATATATATATATATACACACACATACACATATACACACACACAGACACACACACATATATGTATATATATATGTATACATATATATATGTGTGAATGTGTGTGTATATACACACACACACACACAGTGGGCTTATATATATATATATACACACACACACATAACATATCTTTATATGTACAGCTACGCATCATTGCGGCGAGTAGAAACATTTTTTGAGAGGTGCACCTCAGCTACGCCAACGGCCACGGCGTAGCCTTAAGACAGCTGCCCCCGCGAATTGGGCCTGAAAAAGTGGATGAAAATGAATGGATGAATGAAACAATGTACTTGATCTGACATCCATTTGTTATACTTAAAATAATACATAATTATGCTAAATCTTAATAGATTTTAAAGGATTTAAATGTTATTGCTGACAAAAAGCTAAAACCTAGAAAAATAGTTTAAAAAACATTATAAGGCAATATATTTTGGGCTTTCACTGATCTTTAATAGTGTTTTTAATATGTGATCACATGACTTCTTTTAAATATTTCTGATAAGATTTTTGGTTGAAAATAAATATACAAAATATTGTGATTTTAGTCATTATAAATTTTCTTGCGTGAAAAACAATAAAAAAATGAAAGCTCCATTACATTATTATTATTCTGATGCTTGACAACCTATTTCTGTCAGTGGACATTGAGACCCATTCATAGGTATACCTAATAATTTCGTTTTTATCTCTGTTTAAGCGCTTATTTTTATTGTGCTGAACTACCATATCTGCATTGTTTTGTTCCCCCAGCAGCTATAATGAACTCTCCGTAGGGAAGCAGAGGTTCTGCCGGCAGACAAAGCGCTTTGACAGATTTAATAAGCCGTATAATTTTGTCAGATCTCTCGTTTCTCTGTTGCCCGCTCTCTCACATGCCCAATCTCCTCAGCTCGGGTTTCAGCGGTGCTGAATTTGACACCAAAATTAAAACAAAACACTGAAGCGCATATGAATTAGTGATCGCCACTGAAAGGATGAGCTGACAATGGTGGGTCACGAAGGCCTATTGAATGTGTATAAATCCGTGAACGTATACGGTGGTTATGTTACTGCGCTGGAATTATGCTGACTTAAGCAAATGTAGGGCATGTGGGGAAGTGTTGTCTACTGGTGATTATGATTAACTGATGTGCTGCATTTTATCTATTTATTGACAAACTTCAGAGTAAATGTGTGGAATTTCTTGGCGAGCAAATACAGAAATACATTTGTTCATATAAACATAAATATGTAAATTATTAAAATCACTTTAATGTATATTATTTAAATGTTCTCTGAAGGAAGCATAATGACTTTAGGGCTTTTACATATAAATCTGTAGATATATAGATTGAAAACTGTAGACTATTACTGTGCTGATGTTTGGTATCTTAGTAGGTGATTTATACATTTGAAAATATTTACATGGTGGCACGGTGGCTCAGTGGTTAGCACTGTCATCTCACAGCAAGATGTTCACTGGTTCGAGTCCCGGCTGGGCCAGTTGGTATTTTAGTTTGGAGTTTGCATGTTCTCCCCTTGTTGGCATGGGTTTCCTCCAGGTGCTCTGGCTTCTATGCGCTATAGGTGAATTAGATCAACTAAACTGGCCGTAGTATATGAGTGTGGAAGTGTATGGCTGTTTTCCAGTACTGGGTTGTAGCTGGAAGGGCATCCGCTGCGTAAAACATGTGTTTGAATAGTTGGTGGTTCATTTCACTGTGGTGACCCCTGATAAATAAGGGACTAAGTTGAAGGATAATGATTGAGACATATTATGAAGTTTCACAAACTAATTTCGAGAGGAGCACGTGATATGATTGACTGCAGCTGGCCACTCATCTACACTCATTAGCTAGCCAATCAGATTCATCCAAACTCACTATAAGTAACCTAGCTAAGAACTAGTCCCTTATCTTCGTTTTCCCGAAGAAACCCCCCATCCACCCCTTCTCCTCCTTTCCTCTTTTGCCAAGGGGAGCTCTCGAGAACACCTGACCTCGTACTCCCCTCACATGCTTTATGGACCTGGCGGGAGCCCTGGGCTCAACTATCTCCGAGCTCAGGGTTCTCTCCCGGGACAGCATGCCAAACCTGCTAACTTGCTAACAAGTTGTCAAACAGTATCGAAGTGTGAACTCTTGAAATTATGTTCTGTGTTAGGCGTATGTGGTTTTTCTCTCTTAATAAAAAAAACACATACAGGAAACGCAGAACATAATCAGCAATAGAACAGAAATAGAATAAGTCTGTGGTAATCAGAATAATAAACAGTAATGGCAATTTGAATAATTTTGATATTTTAAATAGCATTTAGCATCCATAGTCATAAAAAAAATTAAATAAAATAAATGCTGAAAATAATAATACTAAACTTGGATGATGATAAAAGTAATATTCTATGATGTTGGTAACCGTGATTTTTGTTATAATCTTGTTAATTGTGTTAATTATGTCATCTGTGCTGGCTAGCAGTTACATTTACAACAGTAACAAAATGTGTACAGTACATAAGGGTTATATTGGGATTTAAACCTTAGAAACATCTGTTATAGTGTAAACCTAATGTGTATTATAATTATAATTATATATATATATATATATATATATATATATATATATATATATATATATATATATATATATATATATAATTTATATATAATTATAATATAAAGAGATTTATCTAAAAGATATATTTACCCCAAAATGTAGAATATAAAATGTACTTCTGTTACTCACTTGAGAAAACCTCATTGTATCGTTAGATATTAAAGAGAGGGTTCACCAAAAAAATGACGTTTCTGTTACAATTTACTTAGCCTTGATGGAAACCTTTACGAATACCTCACGGAGATATTTAGAAAAAGGTTGAAAGCCTGTATCCATTGACTTCCATGGAAAAAATCAATACTATGAAAGTCGATGGGTACAGGTTTTCAGCTTTCTTTAAAATATCTTATTTTTTGTTTAACAAGTCTTGAACCTCATGAGGGTGAGTAGTTAAGTAAATAAAATTAGTTTTGGGGTGAACTGTCCCTTTAATTTTGTTTTACCTGTACACTACCTGACAAAAGTTTTGTCACCTATTCAAGTTTTAGGAACAACAAGTAATAACTCAACTTCTAGTTGATCATTTGGTATCAGAAGTGGCTTACATGAAAGGCTAAGGCCTCTAGATTACACTTATTTTACCAAATAAATTATGACCAAGCCTTGATTTCTAATTATTTACTTAGGACAATGAGGTCTGATGTTGCTTAGACAAAAGTCTTGTCACTTAACAGAAATAATGTCTAGTATAGAATATAAAGTCATGCTGCAGTGGAAACAGAATGAATATTGTGTATGACTACCATGAGCTTGGAGGACTGCATCCATACATCTCTGCAATGACTCTAATATCTTATTAATAAAGTCATCTGGAATGACGAAGAAGGCATTCTTGCAGGACTCCCAGAGTTCATCAAGATTCTTTGGATGCATTTTCAATGCCTCCAACTCCATCTTACCCCAGGCATGCTCAGTAATGTTCATATTTGGTGACTGGGCTGGCTAATCCTTGAGCACTTTGATCTTCTTTGCTTTCAGGAAGTTTGATGTGGAGGCTGAAGTATAAGAAGGAGCGCTATCCTGCTGAAGAATTTGCCCTCTCCTGTGGTTTGTAATGTAATGGGCAGCACAAATGTCTTGATACCTCAGGCTCCATAATGAATGTAACCCCAAACCCTTTCTCCTTAACCAAACTTGACTGATTTCTGTGAGAATCTTGGCTCCATGCTGGTTCCAATAGGTCTTCTGCAGGATTTGTGATGATTGGGATGCAGATCAACAGATGATTCGTCAGAAAAATCCACATTATGCCACTTTTCCAAATGAAGTTATTATTTGTTGATCTTACAACTGAGAATGACGACAAGACTTTTGTCAGGTAGTATACGTGTTTTTGACTCACAAACTTTCATTTTAGGAATCGCCAAGGACCACAGGTTCAAATAAAACATCTGTAATGTCACTTACATCTTGGATGACCTGAGAATGAGAACATTGGTGTGAACCATCCTTGACAAGGCTGAATAGTTCCTACATGACCATGATCAGAGTTCACATGCCTCAGTTCTCACAAGTCTCTAGGAAACGAATCGCTCCGCTAACACGCTCTGACATCATCAGTTTTATCTCCTGCTAATCACAGTGTCACATGACTGTATCTGATTTAATCTCCTTGCTCTTTCTTAACACCGTGTCAGGCGGGCATCAAGCGATGCCACCCAAGAATGGACTCATCTGTCAAAACAGTCCTCAGGACAAAGTGTGAACTTGATGAAACCCAGGGCTGACTGCGCATTGAGCAACCAAACAGCCCAAATTACAGGCAAGACATGCAACCGACCTCAATAGAACAGAAGTGATGTGTGTGAGCCTCTTACGCTTTTCTAACAGTCTAGTTTGCCATTAGCTTTGGGTGTAGTTAGTTGTAATAAAACTAGTTACTGTAATTAAACCACTGTTTAGCTAAAAAGTATAGTAGGGGGTCCACATTTAATAATAATAATTTAATTAGTGACTTATACTTGTATATTGTTACCTTGTGTATTGTTCAAATTAAATACCCTTACGTTATGTTGGGGGCTGTTTTTGCCCCATTGACTTCCATTATAACAATATTTTTTTTTTATTGCAAACTGTGACACCAAATAATCATGCATTCTATATTTTCTATAGAGGTAGCATCCCAGATAGCAGGTAGTAATCAGCTGAGCTCGGCTGCCCTTCGGCGCCTTCGGCTCCGTCTCGGCATCAGTGAGTGTTATACGGGCCAAGTGCGGCCCGCAGCTCGCTCGCGCACATGCGTTTATGATGCGGCTGTAAAGCACTGACCCGATTCCAGTCAACCATATCCGGCCCGAGTCTGTCTGTAGAGTCCGGGCCGCCTCTGGCAAGGACTCGACTGATGGCAATCAATTAAATTCTTATTTTATCTAGTAATTTGTTAGCTCCACGTTTAATCATAATTTGAGAAAATATTCATGGTACGACAGCAACAAAATAATAACAATATTTTGTGTGGATGGCTGCAATGTTTAGACGCAAACAAAACAATTTTATTTATAAATGGATTATACATATCATCTAGAGAAAAGCGTGTAAAATGCGCTTATTTTCGAGATAGCACGCTTCTGTGCCGACTGTTTTTTTTAAAGCAGAAGTTGGTTTCATAGGAAACACATGCGGGAGTAAACTCCTGATCCAAACTCCAATCCAGACGGTGGCAGTAATGCTCCAAAAAGCTGGTTGCCAACCGCCATGAAGATCACAAGAAGAAAAAGAAGTTTGTTTGGTTTTTCAAAACTTTCCCGTGGATTTATTTGTCATGTATACAATTGATCTTCAGTTGGCACCATTAACCATTCAGATAGGCCTGTGCAAAAAAGTTTCTGTTTTGATATGGAATTCTGTGGAGCGTAAATACACTTACTATGCTTACTATGTTCTGAGAGCTGATGGGCTTATTTAGAATTTTTTTTTAAAGTCATATCAAGGTGTGCACAAACCCACACACACCATATTTCATATAACTTTATATTATAATAATTTTATTTTTGATGCATATGTTGTTAATGTTTAAATGCTAATTTATTTAAACAACTAAAAAGTCCAATTTCACTCAATTTCAAAGGATTAAGAGTTTAATTTCTATTGTCTGTGCATTGGTATTAATGTGGATATTTAGTATCGTCTCATGTAATTAGATTACTTTTGACAAGTAGTAAACAAGCTACTTTTCAGATAAAGTCATTAGAAAAGTACAGTTGTTAGTAATGAATTACTTTTTTGAAGTCATTTATTTTTAGCAGACGAAATGCGATAGCCGGGTACAAAAATATCTTTAATAAATCATAAAAATGTACAGCTCTGAATGCATGTGTTACGAGTTTTCTACTATATACAAGTGCACTATTGAAGCGTTTTCAGTTCCGTCTGTCAGATCTTGGCTTCAGGCTTTGCTGTTTCGCTGTCAGAGAATTGTACAAAATCTGGACGCCGCAGGTGATGGAGGCACAGAATCTTCCGGTAGCTTTGGGATGCCATCCAGAACTTGGAGATTTGGCAAACAGGAGAACACACTGCAGAAGAAACCACACACACATCTCAAGGTTAGGCTTTAAATGATTCTCTTGGCTTTGAACGCTTGCAATGATCCGTCACATCTTTGGTCAGCTCTAGTAAATTATGATTTCTTCTGGAATAGCTATTAACTCTGGGCTTAATGTGATTTCGGAGACAGATTATGCTCTGTGGCTTTTAATATTAATTAAAGCTGTAATTAGCTGATTAGTTTTAATCAATCCACTTTTTTGACAGCGAGTTATTAAAAGCTCAGCAATGTCCCATATATACCCTTGTGAGAAACAAGTGCACTTTATTGTGCTGAATGTGCACTTAAGATCATAGAAGTTCTTTTATTTAAGAACTGAACTGGCAGATAATATACTTGAATAAACAGTACATTTTAGCAATCATTAGTGATGGGTTGTTCATGAACGATTCGTTTATTTTGAACGAATCTTCAATATGACTCGGGAACTACGAGTCCTCTTAGGAAGTGGTTCGACACAGGAAGTGTCTTTTGAGTCATTCATCACGGAAAGGCAGAAGCCAATCATATGCGTTTAGAGCCGGAAAAAGAATTGATCCGTTCACCTCTCGAGTCCTCTATCGGTCTGAGTCATTTGTTCATCACGGGCCAATCATATGCGTTTAGAGCCAGAAAAAGAATTGATTCGTTCACCTCTCGAGTCCTCTATCGGGTCTGAGTCATTTGTTCATCACAGTCCAATCATATGCGTTTAGAGCCAGTCACATATAATATAATTATATGTAACGGATCACATATAATTGATCTGTTCAACTCTTGAGTCATCGGGTTTGAGTCATTTTGTCACATGATGAACGAACGAACGACTCGAGAATTAGAAGACTCGAAAGGTGAACTAATTATCATGGCTTCTATCGACTCAGATTGTGTACATTGGTTAAGATTATATGTGACTGTCAGTGTAACGTGAACGAACCACTGACATTTGAAGACATGAAGAGGTGAGCTGAGCAAAGACAAAACAATACATTCATAGACAAAATAGCAGGTAAACATTGAATTATTATTTTCTCCTTCTTATAGTGTTCTATTTATGACTTATTTTTCGTGTGATCAACTTTTTGGGCTAGTTGTAAATGTGTTTGGAAGCAATTCATAACATTTTAATAATATTTTGGCAAATTGAACCAAATGAATCGAAAAAAGATTCATTCATCTCGATGAACGAGACTCAAAGATCCGAGTCAGTAAAATGATCCGAACTTCCCATCACTAGCAAACATACTTTGTTTTGTTATACGCCGCATAATTCTATATTTCAGCTGAAGAATAGCACATTTATCTATTAATTTCTTAATAATTGAGAAATTAGTTTGACAATATGTGGTAGGGATGCACCGATATGGATTTTTTGTCTGATATCCATAACCGATAACCCTTGAGACTTGGATGCCGATAGCTGATATATATTTATATAGGCCGATAATTATAAATATTTCAAAATGTTGTATTTTTATACAGCAAACTTAAAAGATTGAACTGCTCTTATGAACTGAAATGTCTATACTCAAAGCAAAAAAAGCTATCATATAAAAATCGCAAGGTGTATATATAGACCTATATTCATGATTTCATATAAATCAGCATCCAAAAAAAAAATAATTTCCTTTTCTTCATAGCAAATTAACATGCAACTGACTGTTGCATAAAAAATAGGTTACAAAGCAAAATGGGATTTAATTACCAAGTTAAAATATATTTTAAATAAGATGAAAATAAAAGAGCACTTCACACTCATTCAGCTGAACCTGATGAAGCTTATTGTTAAATCAATCGACTGTGACCACAACATAAAGGTATTTTGAAGTACCCTATTTTTCACAACTTGATTCCTCATTATTCCCTCTGTTTCTCTCACCGTGAGCGGTAGTCCTCCAGGAACTGGCAGGGGTTTCGTTTGAGGCTCAGAGATTGTAGCGGCGAGCTCCTCAGCAGGGTCAGCTCGCCCAGAGAGGAAATACTGTTTTCAGACAGGCACAAGTGCTGGATCTCAGGAACCTTTGGCAGCTGACGAAAGGACGTCAAATTGTTCCGGTGAAGATTCAGGATTTTACATCTGTGAGAAATGAACATGCTCGGGTTTGAGTCATTGTAATGTGTCAGTGTTCTACAGGGTTGTCATATACACTGACTTTATTTGGACCAGCGTTTAAATACTTTATTTATTATTATTCAACATAGCAACTCCTAATATGTGACCGTAGACCACAAAACCAGTCATAGGTGTCCATTTTTAAATTTGTAACTCATACATGATCTGAAATCTGAATTAATAAGCTTTCCATTAATGTATGTTAAAATAATGTATGTCCTATCCTAAAATAATGTTAACATAGGATAGTATTTGGCAGATAGATGGTGAGCCATACTGTACCATTTTTTTGGGTACCCTTTTGAAAGTATACCTAGCAAGACAAAAGGCTACCAAAAGGCGGAGCTAACTGTGCAGCTGAATGCTATTGGTTTATAGAGAAACATCACCAGCATGTACACAAGCAGGAGAGTGAAAACAAAGAAACCACCATTTTTAAATCCACAACTGTGAATAACTATTAGAATTTCTGCAATCTAAAGGTTAAAAAAAAAATAAATACTTAGTTAGGTTTTCTAAATGAGGTGCTAGAAATGCAAATTACTAATCAGAATTTGAATTTTGATATATTTACAGTAGGAACTTTACAAGAAATCTTAATGCAACATGATCTTCCAATGATTTTAAACATAATTTTGACCTATGCAGTGTATTTCTGGCTACATAGGTTTTGTCATCCAGGGTCACAAATTTGTTTAGGAAAACCTGCCATTAAGTTAAAATTGTAAAAGAAATATATATTAAGCAAGAAGAATATGTGCAATACAAATGTAACATTTAATCAGTAGGACGCATATAAAAAACGTGATTAAGGCTGTTTTTAAGGCTGAGTTAGATGTCGATACATAATTAACACTTTCCGGTCCCACTTTATATTAAGTGTCCTTAACTACTATGTACTTACATCAAAAAATAAATACAATGTACTTACTGTGTTTATAATGTATTTGAGAACACTTGTGGTGCTTTTGAGTTGGGATAGAGGTTGGGTTATGGACAGGTTTGGTGGCGTGGGAAGGTTTAAGGGTGGGTTAAAGTGTAAGGGATGGTCAACAGTGTATTTACAAAAGTAATTACAAAAGTTATTTACAGATGTAATTACATACAAGTATTTAATCAAGCATAAGTACACAGTAAATGCATGTATTTACACAATAAGTACATTGTAACAAACTATTAGCTCCTGTGTAAGTACATATTAGTTAAGGACACTTAATATAAAGTGGGACCCACTTTCCTTCTTACTGTAAAATAAACGGCTCATATGAGATTACAGTACGCAGCTACAGTTGCACTACATGTATTTTTACACAACCGTACACATAGTGTTACAAAACAACCAATGCAATACAATACAATAGCACAGGCTCAATGGAAAGATCACGTGGGAGTTTGCACAAATCTTCAGCAGTATACACACTCAAGTACGAAAGGAGTTTGTGTGTTATAGTGCGGAGGATGTTTTTCCAACCTTGGCAGTCTGACGGAGCTGAGATCTCTCAGTGCGTTCTCCACCAGCTGTAGACACTCCACCCGGATCAGTCTCCTCAGGATGCGGATGAAGTTCTCCAGCTGATACGGATCTCCCAGGTCCTGATAAGACAAGTTCAGCACCTGCAGAGACAGATCCATGAATCTAGATCCAGCTGCTGTGGTTACTGGCTGATAGATAGCTATTGGGGATGAATAGACAGAACAATAAATAAACGGATGGACAGAAAAATGGATGGAGAGATGGACAAAGAAAGAAAGATGGACTGATGGACAAAAACATATAGATGGATGGATGGATGGATGGATGGACAGATAGAAAGAACAAAGGATGGATGAACAAAGACAGATGATAGACAGATCGTCAACGATGGATGGATGGATGGATGGATAAATATAAAGACAGAGACAGATCCATGAATGCAATACAAGGACAACCAGCTGCTGTGGTTACTAGCTGATAGATAGCTATTAGAGATAAATAGATAGAACAATAAATAGATTGATGGACGGATAGAAAGATAGATGGAACAATGGATGAATAGAGAGATGGGCAAAGAAAGAAAGATGGACTGATGCACAAAAACAAATGGACGGATAGACAGATAGAAAGAACGATGGATGAATGGATGGATGGACAGATAGACAGATGATAGACAGAAAAACAGATGAATGGATGGATGGATAAATATAAAGACACCTGCAGAGACAGATCCATCAATACAATACAAGGTTAACCAGCTGCTGTGGTTACTGGCTGAGAGATAGCTATTAAAGATGAATGGATATATAGATTGGATAGATGGATGGATAGATAAAACAATAAATAGATGACAGGCATGGGATGATAACCGGTTTCAAGGTATACCATGGTTTGGAAAAGTCAAGGTTTTAAAACCGCAAAAATTTTAAGATACACCGCTCCTAAGGTATATGTAAGACAACAGAAGTCAATGATTTATTTGAATTCTTTAGCATGACATGTTTACTGTTCAAAAATATTTTAAATGTTTCCTAAAATAATATATATTGTGTTCAGGGGGGGGGGGGTTGTTTTTCCCCCCAAACATTTAAAAAGAACTTATTTTAGAGCAGTAATCACAATACCCTGATACTTTAATCCAAAGTTATCATACCGTCAGAAACTTACACCGACCCATGCCTAATAGATGAATGGACATACAGAAAGATGGACGACTGGACAGAACCAATGATGGATGGAGAGACAGAAATAAAGATGGAAGGATGGACAGACAACTGGACAGATAAAAAGACTGATGGATGGATAAATAAGAATGATGGAGAAATAGAAAGACAACTGGACAGATAGAAAGAATGATGGATGGATGAACAAGAATGATGGACTGATAGACCGACAAACAGACAGACAGAAAGAATGATGGTTGGACAAATAGAAAAACAAATAATAGATGGTAAATAGACAAAGATAGACGGAGGGGGCGAGGCAGTGGCGCAGTAGGTAGTGCTGTCGCCTCACAGCAAGAAGGTTGCTGGGTTGCTGGTTCGAACCTTGGCTCAGTTGGCGTTTCTGTGTGGAGTTTGCATGTTCTCCCTGCCTTCGCATGGTTTTCCTCAGGGTGCTCCGGTTTCCCCCACAGTCCAAAGACATGCGGTACAGGTGAATTGGATAGGCTAAATTGCCCGTAGTGTATGAGTGTATGAGTGTGTGTGTGAATGTGGGTGTGGATGTTTCCCGGAGATGGGTTGCGGCTGAAAGGGCATCCGCTGCGTAAAAACTTGCTGGATAAGTTGATGGTTCATTCCGCTGTGGCGACCCCAGATTAATAAAGGGACTAAGCCAACAAGAAAATGAATGAATGAGACAGACGGAGGGATGGATAGATAGACTGATATGAAGATGGATGGACAGAATGATGGATAGAGATGCAGATGGATAGACAGAAGGATAGATAGAAGGATGGGCAGACAGGGATGGATAAAGCTAGATAGCTAGAAAGACTATAATAAACAGACAGACAGATCAAAAGACAGACGGATATAGATACATGAATAGACAGACAGAAGGATGGATGGATGGATGGATGAATGGATGGATAGATAGTCTAACAGGTGGACAGACAGATGGCTAGAAAGATGGAGGGATGGAAAGACAATGACAGACAGATCAAAAGATAGACAGAAAAACGGAAAGATGGACAGACAGGTAGAGGGATGGATGGACGGACAGATGGACAAACGGCCAGACAGATAGGATGGATGGTCAATGATAGACCGAAAGACAGATCAAAAGACAGATGGATTGACAGATAAATTAAACAGATGGAAGGGATGGCTGAGTAGATTAATAGAAAGACAGACGAACAGAGAGACGAATAGATGGATGGATAGGTAGACTGGCAGATGGACAGACAAACAGACGGCTAGACAGATAAAATGAGGGATAGACAATAGGGACTGATAGATAGACAGTTGTCTAACCACACAGTTCTCCCAGTTTTCCTGCAGTCTCTCCTCCCACTTCTGTCCTTCATCTTTTCTCCTCTTCCTCCGGCCTCCTCTGAGCAGGAAATCTCCACTGTGAGCCGACAGCTCGTCTTCTGCAGGCCCTGCTGGAGGAATTCACTGATGTCTGTCCTGTCATCAGACTGTATTACTGCAACACTGTAAAGATGCGCTCTTACCCTCTCTGACTCTGGGACAGGCCAGCTGGTCTCCACGGACATCATGCTCCTCTAACCAGTGCCACGAGGCAAACCTGAACCGGCTGGACGGCAACTGCACAAAACAAACACGGAGACAACATTCACAGTCCATGCAGACAAAACACACAATCGCAGCCATATTGACTTTGACGTACTGGTGTGGCAACGATGCCAGAGTCTGGAGTCAGTTCCACAGAGAACGGAGAGTGTGTGTCGCTTAACTCCGAGTAGTGCGAGTGAGACTTGGGGAAACTTTCACTGCTGGTGTTCACTCCAGAGGAACTGCAGACAAACAGATTCAAGTCAGTCACAAACATTACATATCAGATCACAATTCTGGTGCATATGTAATTAATATAGGCAGCATGGTGGCTCAGTGGTTAGCTCTGTCACCTCACAGCAAGAAGGTCACTGGTTTGAGTCCCGGCTGGGCCAGTTGGCAATTCTGTGTGGAGTTTGCATGTTCTCCCCGTGTTGGTGTGGGTTTCCTTTGGGTGTTCCGATTTCCCCCACAGTCTAAACACATGCGCTATACTGTAGGTGAACTGGATTATCTAAATTGGCCGTAGTGTACTGAGTGTGTGTGAATTCCAGAGTGTATGGGTGTTTCGCAGTAATGGGTTGCGGCTGGAAGGGCAACTGCTGCATAAAACATATGCTGGAATAATTGGCGGTTCCGTTCGCTGTGGCGAACCCTGACATATAAAGGACTAAGCCGAAGGAAAATTAATGAATGCAATTAAAATGTCTACTCATAACCGTTTTGAAAAACATTATAATGTTTTTAAATAATTGGTTACACTTAAAAACAGAAAAAAGAAACTGCATTATACAAAAATGTGTATTTTATTGTTATAATGTCTGCTTTTGTAAATTATTACAATATATTCACAAATAAATAACAATGCATCCCTTACAATTTTTACTTTAAAGGTCACCTGTGGTGAAAAATCTACTTTTCAAGCTGTTTGGACAGATGTGTGTAGGTATAGTGTATCCGCTTGTTAAATGTGACGTCACGTGAAGCGTCTTCCGGGTCCAAGCGCTCTATTCAACTGAATGGGGAGACTCATGAAATGGTAATAATAAACGTTTACAAAGCGATTTAATACTTTCGAAAGTCACGATCGCAGTATATATGTCCATGCCTAATATGCAATGGCCAGAAAGTGATTAATTTTTTGAATAAATTGTTAAATTTTTGGTATTTGTTATGCAGCAAGCCCAGAGATTGTTCTGTACACTAAGATTTTATATGAAATTAACTTTAATGTGTGATAGGAATAAAAAGTGATCATAAACGAATGATTTCTCAACTCAAATGAAAGCCAGCTTGGACCCGGAAACAGTATTACATACGTCACAAACACGTCACCACTTAACAAGCGGATTGACTGTCATATTGGGGTGACATACACACACACACAGTCCTTTTTTCAATTTAACAACATAAAAACGGTGGACCAATTGGACCGGTTTTCATACCGACCGCAACTTGACGTAGGAGTGCGATTCCCCCCGCCCACCAATATTGATTGACAAGCGCGTCCTCACATATCCTTTGTTTGTTGATTCACGTCTGCCATTTTCAGCGTGAGTCAAAGCAATGTCACTAAAGGAACACCCTTGCTCTATTTTTAGATGTAAGGCTCATTGGGCTCAACACAAGATCAATTTTCTCCACATTATCGCTTTAATACACAATTATTGTTTGTACCTTTTAGTAGGTTTGCAAACATGTGTACTTTTCATTGCGTCTAGCTTAAACTTCAGCCGGTTGCATCACAGAAGCTCCCTGTGATCTTAACTAGGTGCAGCTGGAAAAGTGCAAGCGCGTTGCCTCATGTGCGCGTCTCTACATTGGAAATAAAATAACAAACTTGCCTGCAGGTCGCACACCAGAAGTGTCTCTTTGCGAGGCGCAGCGCCGTGCATTTTGGAGTTCTGGGCGTGCGTTTCTGTCGGGGTGCACGCGGTGGCCGCCGTCTTGGGCCCCCGTTGTGTTTGCCCTGGTGGAGGCCTGTGTTTGGAGTTCTGGAATGCATGGTGCTGTGTGGCGCGACAATTCGTGACACTTCATGTTTCTGCCGCGCCACTGAGAGTGTCTGGTGTGCCGTGTTGCGGCTTCGAGCGGCGCATCCGGTGCCTCAGTCAAAGTTAATCAAGTGTGTGTGGTTATTAGTCTCGGTGTCTCGACACGTAAAACTAGCACACAGTTAGCTGTAAAACTATACAAAGACACAAATGATTGTGTACCCTCTGCTTGGTCTGTGTCCGAGTCGTACATGTACGGCTGAATGCTGATCCTCTCATGTAGCTTAACTTCTCTCTGTCTGCCTGTCTGTTGCAAACACAGAGCGTGGGAGCTCTTGGCTCAGCCCCCCTTATTACATTGGGCGGGAAGCCGAAATTAATTTTCATGTGAAGCAACACGCCCCTAAAACAGCGAGCTGTGTACACGCCCCAACATGACACTTTTGAACACATTATAATAAAAACATCTGAACAGTGTTTTGAACTGAACCTAAACTGGCACACTCAGAAGAACCATAATATTAACATTAAATCATAAAAAAGGGGTAAACTATGTGCCCTTTAAAGGGAACCTATTATGCCCCTTTTTACAATGTATAATGTAAGTCTCTGATATCCCTAGAGTAAGTATGTGAAGTTACAGCTCAAAATACCCCACAAATAATATTTTGTAACTCTTTGAATCGGCCCCTTTTAGGCTTTAATCCTAAGTGTGACATTTTAGTGACTGTCGCTTTAAATTCAAATGAGATTGTGCTCTTTTCAAAAGAGGGCGAAGCTACACATGCCTATGTGTAAGCATAGTGGCTGATTTAAAAACAAGACTATCGTCCTATGCTAATGAGGGAGAGATTGTCACTAGTGGGCGGGGCTTTCCCCCTCTGATGACATGTAGGTAGGTAGGTTACTTTATTTATACCCGAAGGTAGATTTGGTTTGCAGTCAAGAGTCCTCATCTCACAACAGTGCCACACAAAGGAACTCACAAAGTAACAGCAACAAATGCACATTAAGACATAAAAACGTAAAAATAAAGAATAAATAATCATTTTAAGTGTCCACCCCCCTCCCCCAAGTAAATGTTTAAAATGATCTAAAATATACAAGTCACCGAAACATCTCTGCTTTAGTCTAGGCCTTATTTAAATGTCTAATGGCAATACAAAGGGAGAATGTCAATCAAAGTGTTTATGCAGACTGCCTTTTATAAAGTGTGGTTATATAAAATAAAATAAATACATTTTACCATTAGAAGCTGGACATAGCTGTTGTCACACAACTGCATTTAAACCCCTCATCAAATTAGTTTTTTCAGAATAGTTTCCCTTTAAACCTAAAAAATATGTATTTACTCTACATCCACTGTTGGAATTTGCAATAGTAGTGAAGAAGATAGTTTTAGTGACTGCCCAAGTAAATTATTTATTTGAAAAATGTAATAGTTTCAATTCATTCACAAATCCAATCCACCGACTCATTCAGTCAATGGTTAGATTGGCTCACATGATTTACTTTGAAAAATTAATAACCATAAAATACCGTATTTGTATACTAACAATATAATATTGTATGCATTATTTGTATCTGCAAATTTTATAGTATGATTAATTTATTTTTGGGTGACCTTAACTTTTGTTAAATCTACAACAATTGCAAAACATACGAGGATGTATTATCATTTTCACTGGAAATAAAAAGTAACATTTTAATGCTAATTTAACCACTAAACTGTGAAACCTTACCATCTGTTCAGAAATCAGACCTTACATTTATTTATTTGCATCTGATTTTTGTAGATGCGAGTATCATTACCTCATTCAGACTCACTAAACAACTTACAAATTATTTCATACTTAATAACACACCACTCATAAGGCTAGTTCACCCAAAGATTAAAATGCACTCAAGAGGTGTACGTTTTTTATTCTGTTGAACACAAAAGAATATATTTTGAAGAATGAAAGAAAACAGACTTCCATAGTCTGAAAATGTACACCATGGAAGTCAATGGTTACCGGTTTCCAACATTTTTAAAGATACTTCTTTTGTATAGAAATTTCGGTTTTGTTGAAATGTCCCTTTAATACTGATGTTACCTTATGTCTAAGCATTTTTACTGTGGATACACTGTAACAAATGATTAGTTACGTTAACAAAAACAAGTAAACTCATTGCCCTAAATGCAACAAGTTGTTTTTTTTAGTAAACTGGTTGTCGCTATAAAAAGATACAGCCACAGCTAAATTATTTATTAAATTACCATTAATTATTTTTATTTTAGGGCGAAGCAGTGGGTAGCATGTTCACCTCACTGCAAGAAGGTCGCTGGTTCGAGCCTCGGCTGGGTCAGTTGGCATTTCTGTGTGGAGTTTGCATGTTCGTGTGGGTTTCCTCCAGGTGCTCCGTTTTCCCCCACAAGTTCGAAAGACATGTGGTACAGGTGAATTGGGTAGGCTAAAGTTGACCGTAGTGTGTGTGTGTGTGTGTGTGTGTGTGTGTGTGTGTGTGTGTGTGTGTGTGTGTGTGTGTGTGTGTGTGTGTGTATGTGTTTTTGTGACATATCAGGGCACAAATCTGTATAATGACATAGGTTTGACTCAGGTATTACAAAAAGGAGGTGAAATATGAGGGCATTGGTGACGTCCTCATTTCTCAAAATGCTTATAAATCTCACAGAATGAGTTTAATCAGAGTGTAAAGCTGCACAAAGTCTCCTGTGATGGTTGGGTTTAGGGTTGGGGTGGGGTGAGGGCAATACAATATACGCTTTAGACAGTATAAAATGAATAGAAACCTATGTAATGTCCCCACTTTTCACAAAAACAAATGTGTGTGTGTGAGCGTGTATGGATGTTGATGAAAGGGCATCTGCTGCATGAAACATATGCTGGATAAGTTGGCGGTTCATTCTGCTGTGGCGACCCCAGATTAATAAAGGAACTAAGCCAAAAAGAAAATGAATACTATTATTTTATTATCGTCTACCCCAACACTCATGGTAATGTAACAATAATTATTATTGTACTACAGCAAGGGTGCCCAAACACAGTCCTGGAGGGCCGGTGTCCTGCTGAGTTTAGCTCCAACTTGCTTTAACACACCTGCCTGGAAGTTTCCAGTGTATCTAGTAAGAGCTTGATTAGCTGCTTCAGGTGTGTTTGATTAGGATTGGAGCTAAACTCTTCTGGACACCAGCCCTCCAGGACCCTGTTCTACAGTCACAAAAATGATGCTATATTAATGAGTATCCACAGCTAAACTTCAACAAGTTAAACATTTTTGTAACTTGCAACTGTTAAAGTTGACTTGACTTAATATTTATAAGTACACACATAGTTTATGTACTTAATGATTTACACCAACGGCTTGCTTTTGTTTTTTTAAGTAAAGTCAGCTAATGGCTTAATATCATTGAAGTAGCATGATGCCCTCAAACGCTATAAAAGCACCTTCTCTGACCAAAAGTGCTACCTATGTAGGGCTCTTAGCATGTTTTGAGTCACGGCCTGAGTGTAACGGGAGCTCGCGCGTCCTTACATCCGCTGGGCTGAGGTTCTGGTGTGGATTACCGTGAACTCTGCACCCTAAACCGGATTAAAGTCAGCCACGACACCCGAGCACACCCGCACATCATATCAGAGCACTTTATAAGCCTTTACAATCCACTGATAATGGCTGCTGAGAACGTGCTTGATTTTGTGAAGCTGTTACTTAGGCCGTAAATACACATTATGTTCGCTTATAATGAATTAAAATATCCTGTAGGCATAGACAAGTTACATGGGCGTCAATTAACTATATAATGTAACCTACACCCACCTAAATAATACAATATAATACGCCGTAATACGATAATTTACAGGCCAAAGTTCCCCTAAATTGACTCAAAAGTCTGGAGAAAATAATACAGCTTCAAAACACGAATAAAGCAGGCAGGTCAAAAGCGTCATAAATAAAACTCATATTATTAAAATGCATTAGCTATTCAAAGGGTTTCTTACCTCTCGGACATGTCCGTAGGTTGTGACAGATCCCTATGGCATTTGACATGCAGCAAAGAGGGTTATTTACAAGGAATATAGCGCGGTTTCCCATTGATGATGGATGAAGTGTGTGCTAAAGTGCGACAGGTGAGCGTTCGCTCCGCGCATGCGCACAGGAGCGTCAGTTTCAGTGAGCTGCGCAGCGGGGTCAGTCAGGGCAGCAGAGTGTCTAAGGTTGCACTTCTGTGACTTTTGGAAAAAGCAGTAGGCTATAGCTGTACTTTTTCATGTAGTTTCTGTTGTATGTACTTGTTTTAGCTTTATGAGGCTGAAATTCATCTCTCTAATTTACTCTGAATGTTCATAATGGCACTCACAGGGTGGTGTGGTTGAAGTGCATACAAATACAGTAAGAATTCCTCTGCATGATAAATGTCATTGAGCTTATGTCAAAGATGCTGATACTTGTTTTATTGCAGTGTAAACTGATGGCTGGGCGTCACAGTGGTGCAGTGGTTAGCACAATCGCCTCACCGCAAGAAGGTCGCTGGTTTGAGTCTCGGCTGGGTCAGTTGGCATTTCTGTGTGGAGTTTGCATGTTCTCCCCGTCTTCACATGGGTTTCCTCCGGGTTCAAAGACATGCGGTATAGGTGAATTGGGTAAGTTAAAGTTGAGAGGGGTCTGGATGCAGACCTGGTGCAGTGCAATCTGAGTTGCATCCAATACTTTTTAATGCGCTCACCTAACCCCACCCCTTACCCTACTCGTCACAGTGACATCACTCACTCCATTGAGTGCATTGGGTCTGAGATTGCGTCGCTGAGGGATGCAATCTCAGCTTGCATCGTGAAGGCTGCATCCAGATACTATTGCTAAAGTTTGGTAAGTGTATGTGTGTGAATGAGTGTGTATGGATGTTTCCCAGTGATAGGTTGCAGCTGGAAGGGCATCCGCTGTGTAAAACATATGCTGGATAAGTTGGCGGTTCATTCCGCTGTGGCGACCCCAGGTTAATAAAGAGACTTTAAGACAAAAAAAAGAAATAAATGAATGAATGAAGTTGATGGCAAAGTTAGCTCTCCAGACATGTTTTGTGTGCTAAACCATTCTGATTCAAGTCTGCATTTCATAAACCAGGGTTATTAAGCTAAATATGAAATTATAAAATTAAAAATAATTTGTTACTTGAAATATGTTGTACCATTACTATACACAGCACGCTTAAAAAGCTTTAACTGAAGAAAATAAGTAATACAGTATACACTCACCGGCCACATTATTAGGTACACATTACTAGTACCGGATTGGAGCCCTTCAGAACTGCCTTAATCCTTCATCGATTCAACAAGGTACTGGAAATGTTCCTCAGAGATTTTGGTCCATATTGACATGATAACATCACACAGTTGCTGCAGATTTGTCGGCTGCACATCCATGATGCGAATCTCCCGTTCCACCACATTCACAGGTGCTCTATTGGGTTGAGATCTGGTGATTCATTGTGGAGGCCATTTAAGTACAGTGAACTCATTGTGGCATTGACAAGAAAATATCCCCCACACCATTGCAGCACCACCACCAGCCTGAACCGTTGATACAAGACAGGACGGATCCATTCTTTCATGTTGTTGACACCAAATTCTGATTTTACCCCGAGTGGTCTCCTGCTGTAGCCCATCTGCCTCAAGGTTGGACGAGTTGTGCGTTCAGAGATGCTCTTCTGCAGACCTCACTTGTGACGAGTTACTGTTGAGTTACTGTTGCCTTTCTATCAGCTGGTACCAGTCTAGCCATTCTCCTCTGACATCAACAATGCATTTGCACCCACAGAACTGCCGCTCACTGGATTTTTTCTTTTTTTTCAGACCATTCTTTGTAAACCCTACAGATGGTTGTGTGTGATATTCCTAGTAGATCAGCAGTTTCTGAAATACTCAGATCAGCCCATTTGGCACCAACAATCATGTCACGTTTAAAGTCTCTTAAATCACCTTTCTTCCCCATTCTGATGCTCGGTTGGAACTGCAGCAGATCGTCTTGACCATGTCTGTATGCCTAAATGCATTGAGTTGCTGTCATGTGATTGGCTGATTAGAAATTTGCGTTAACGAGCCGTTGGACAGGTGTACCTAATAAAGTGGCCGGTATGTGTATATTAGTATATAATGTTATCTATCTATCTATCTATCTATCTATCTATCTATCTATCTATCTATCTATCTATCTATCTATCTATCTATCTATCTAAACAATAAAAATTACTAAACATTACAATTTGTAAAACATAATATTAAAATAATACTGACTCTAATAATAAAAAACTAATTTAAAATAATAGAAATAACACGATTAGTCTTCCAATAACAACAGTTGCTTAAACTGTTCTGTCTTGGTATAGTTTAAAACAGAGTCTATTTTTGAACACCAAAAGTGTGGCTGAGAGAACATCTTGGCTCTGAAGTGTCAACATCTCCGTCTAATCATCATCTCTGCTATGAAAAAACACACACAATGACAAGTCATAGACATTCATCTTTATTTTCTGAAACCGAGAATACAGCTGGTATTTTTACTTCATCTTTTATACCAAATGCAGTTTCCCTCGGTCCTCCTGAGTCTCCACTACCTGTACATTCACAACCTTTATTAAATCAAAAACCCATAGTCATATAATAAGGCATATGAGTATGTCAGCAGTACTTCAGCCATGTACAAAACCAAACAAAGGTGGAGGGTGAAAGAATTAAAAGACTTTAAAGCATAGGTCTCAAACTCAATTCCTGGAGGGCTGCAGCTCTGCACAGTTTTGCTCCAACCCTAATCAAATAATCTAGGTGTTCAACACTACTAAAGACTGTTAAGCTGGTGTGAGTTGGAGGTGGTTGAAGCTAAACTATGCAGTACTGTGGGCCTCCAGAAATTGAGCTCGAGATCACTGAAAGCAATGACAATTTACTCATCTTCAAGTTCTTCCAAACTGGGGATTTAAAGACTCAACTCATGATTCAAACCACGATTTTGATTTTAACATTATCTAATGGAATCTTATGTTAAAGTGTGACCCATAAAACGGAACAAAACGGCAGACAAGCTGAAAGAGATGTAGATTTACTCTCTGCCAGCAGGTGGCGCATGTGAACGGCAGCGATAGGGACCTTTAGACAGAATGCATTTAGACGTCATTCCTTCCGTTATGCTACTTTTACATTGTTTTACTATATAAACGCATAGTATAATGTATGTTATAATGTATAATGTAAGTATAAATGCCGAACTTCTCCGCTCTGGCATATTCAGATGCATCTGAATGGACATCAATGTAGTGAAAAGTGCAGTTTGACAGCATATTCAATATAGTATTTTTTCATATTTGAAGTGATTCAGATCTTTGGTTCATCTTTACACCCCTATTCCAAACTCAAGAGTTTCTTTCTTCTGTTGAACACAAATGGAAACTATCTTGTAGAATGTGTAAATCCATTGACATCCATACAAGAAACAAATACTACCAGTGGTTTCCAACATTCTTCAAAATATCTTCTTTTGTGTTCAACATGATGAGAAACTCAAGTTTGAGTTGAGGATGAGTAAATTGGTTTATCTTTTGGATGAATTCTGCCTTTAAGTGAGTCTATATATAGAAAAGTGCACACGTTCTTGCAATAAATATCAAGGTTTCTCTACGGAACACAATAGCAAATATACATTAGAGGAGTTACAGGACTGAATGACGCTGGTGTGGAGTAAGACGTGATGGAGACTTCAGATATTTACAGCTCTGGGTTTCCTGCTGCGCTTAAAGCTTACAAGTATCAAAACACAATCACTTTTTCGTAATATAAATATCCCGTTCGTATAATATTTTCTGGTGCGTTTATAAAACCATGGCGCTGTGATGAGCTTGTTTCAGTGAAGATGCGGCTCGTGGATGAGAAGCATGAATTCAGTGTCACGTTGCGTACGCTTGGTTTTTACATGTCAAAGTTGTTGTCGAAGGGGTCGATGAGTTCAGGGTTCATAACTCTGCCCATGAAGAGGATGGATCCTGAGGGAAAACAAAAAAAGGAATATAGAAACGCCACAACTAATACATTTAGAGAGGAAGTAAGACCAAAATGAGAGCATTAGAGTGTAATTTTAGTACAAGGGTTTCATTCATTTTAGAGTGCTTTCACACCTGCCTCATTTAGAGCTGCATGATTCGGACTAAAATGAGTAACAATATTTGCCTACATTTTTTTTGCATGATTTTTTTTCTCGATTCTGTGATTCAAAACAGTGCATCAGCTCACGTGTGATTTTTTGCGGCCACAAATACGTCATTACATTAAGGGTTCTATTTTGACGGTTCTTGCGCAGAGCGCAAAACGAGGGGCGCAAACGCTTTCAGGGCGTGCTAGATACAGCAGTATACAGCATTATGCTTTGCAAGACTACCAGACTTATTAATAGCTTTTTTCCTCAAGCTATCAGACTGCTCAACTCACTCATGAAAACTGGATTATAAAATCACACCCCACAGCCCACACACACAAAAATCTGTTGAACTGTGAGAAAGGCAAACTCAATGTTTTTATGTTAATATTCCTTGCACGTGTAACATGTTTACAAAATTCACATACCTCTAAGCTGCTACTTTGCACTTTTGCCATACTGCACCTAATTGCACTACAATAAATACCTCAACTTGGTCATATTCTGGAACAATAGGATATATGGTAATTGTTTACAGTTTATTATTGTCTATTAATTCAATTTATCTTGTACTATATTAGTTAAATGTTTAGATGTTTAGTTTATGTCTAGTGTGTGTCATATTTTTGTTTTTAAATTGCACATTGGAGTATGGGAGAAACGCAATTTCAGTCTGCTGTGTAATGTACCGTTGCATGGTTTGATTGACAATAAAGTTGACTTAACTTGACTAGAACACATTTTTGCTAACTTAAGGACGGGAAAATCCGCTTTGCGCCGTGGCGCATGGTCTAAAAGGGTTGAGTTTATTTTCTTAATGAGTTATAGGTGTGTTTTGAGAATAAACCAATTAGAGTCTCATCTCCCATTACCTGTTAAGAGTCAGCTGCGTCGCGCCATAAGCGCATTGCTATTAACATGACGTAAAGTAAGTTCACTTTCGCTTTTGCTCTCATGGATAGGGAAACCTTACCGCACAGACATCAATTAGCCTATAAATAATCAATTTCGTTTGTTAAGCGCATAGATTTGTTTCAAAACTATTTCTAAATTCAATTCTAATTTCCAGCAAACGAATAAATGAACAATAATAATAAAGTGTGGTCAAAATAAATAAAATAAGTTATTTCCAAATACACCTGCTATCCCCCATATGGTCTAAAACCTGACAGGTGGACAAATCTAAGCTTGTTTTTAATAAAAAAAATTTAAATATGGATATAAAAAATAATACTGCTAATAATAATAACATTATACAAAAGCAAATTGAATGAACTGAAAAAGCCTCCCGAGATGAAGAAAGTATGAAGGCGGTGGTTTTTAAATTCATGTTGGCTAGAAATTAATATGTTTTGTAATATTTTAATCATTTATATTTATATCCCATATATATCCTTATTATATATATATCTTTAATATATTATATCTTTTTCATATGTAAAGATATTTGCGTATTGCATCTTGTGTGTAGTGTGTAAGCCAGGCGCACTTTGCGCCAGACAATAGACCGACTTTGTTCTGGTCTGATGAACAGACTATTTACAGTTTCTCAAAATAGCAATGCGCCAAAACACACCTGCTTTTTTAGACCAGAACGCCTATGGGCGCACATTTGAGCGCAAATGCATTTGCTATTTAAACAGCGTGGCGCAACACCTCAAAATGACCCTTGCGCCAAGCTTAAAATAGTAAAAGACTATTGCGCCGCGCCTTGCGCCACATTGCGCCGGGTGTATGATAGGGCCCTAAAGACAGAAATTTTTTTTTTGCATGAATCATACCTTTATAAATACAGTATGTGACTCTTTCAACACTATTTGGAGGTGTCCACATTGCTGAGCAACGTATATAAAACAATGTGAAGACTTGTACGACCGCCTTTATGCTTCTCTCCTGAACTTGAAAATATCATTGGTTGAATTGTAGAGATGCTGGATTAGGATCGTGTGGGGGGTCGAATTGAGATCGCAACATTTTTCCCAATTAATCGTGCAACCCTACGTTTGGGCAGGTGTGAAAGCAACAATTGTATTCTGCTGCACACCGAAAGCAAACCAAACAAGAGTACAGAGATCTGCTCAAAGAGGTGGTCTCGGTACGCTTTTTAAACAAACAATGGATCGGTTATTTTGTGGTTAGCACTGGAACCGCTTTGACAGAATGTACTTTGCTTTTTTTGGAGAAGAAAAGTTTTCAAAATGATTATTAATAACAGTGAGTGTACCTGTTTTTCTGTTTCTGATGATGAAGAAGAAGGGATGATCAGCCATGACCTGTGGGTACAACACCAGCGTCCTGGTCAATGCGATCATACCTGCAGGAGGACAAAGCCAGAAATAAACATTGATATTTAATCTATGTATATTATATCCTATTGACAACAGACTACATGGGTGTCAATTAGCTATATAATGTAATTTACACTCACCTTAATAACAATACATTGTCATGTTGAAATCATTTACAGGCCAAAGTTCCTCTTAATTGGCTTAAAAGTCATATGTTCAAGTATTTTAGAATAAAATACTGTATTCAGGTGTAACAGAGGCCAGCTAGTTTGTGCTGTGCATGTAAACCTCACTCCTCTGACCTCTAAAGGTGCTCTAGCGACAGATGCTATTGGCCATGGTCTTTAGCCTACTTGGTAGAGCACCCAACTTCCATGCGGAAGATTGCCGGTTCGATACCAACTCGGAGAGGGTTGAGTGGCGTAAGACCGGCGGGGTTACATTGGTGCCGTGACCCGGATGTGAGTGAGGTTTAGGGAGGTGAGTGTAACGGAGGCCAGATAGTGTGTGCTGTGCAGGTAAACCTCACTCCTCTGACCTCTAAAGGTGCTCTAGCGACATACGCTAGAGACCATGGTCTTTAGCCTCCTTGTTAGAGCAACCGACTCCCATGCGGAAGGTCGCCGGTTCGATGACAGCTCGAAGCAGGTTGGCCGGTGTAGGACCGGTGGGGTTACACTGGCATGAATAGGCTATATCACTCAGTAAAAACATTAGACCTGAAAGATATCTTTAATGAAAAACCGAAAATCCCAGATTCTCAAATTGGCATAAAAAGATCTCTCTCAGCATCGCACCTAAATTTTATGTTGTGTTTGTATTAAGATTGCACATATTAGAAACGAACACATATTTTTGACTTTCATAACTCTTCTTCATTTTTGTGCTGACATAAATGCAGAACAAAGATATAAAACTAATAAGAAAATAATTTCATCAACAAGACGATGATGAGTCAATCAACCTTGTATAAATGTAGGCTACTATCTGCACGGCAAGTGTTTTTCATCTGCAGATCAACTTCGGGTGAAAGGTTGGTGACTATTTTCAATTTCGTAAGGTTCCTTTCACAGCATGAAAATGTAAATGAATCAAAATATGAAATAAATATGAAAATATGAATATAAAATTAAGCATCGAGTTGTTCAATGTGTTTAGACTATTGTTAATGTGTTCAAACTATTATATTGGATTTACCAAAGTCACACAAGTGCCAATCTCACATCTTTTACATCCATAATGCTATTATGGTATGTGTGTGAATACCTGATCCTGCGGCCCCTTCTGCCCCTTCCTCCGTCACCTCCAGATAGGCCTTCTGAACAGCTTTCCCGATGAACAGATCTTGTCCGTCTGCACACAAACAAACACAATGAACCAGTTATTTACATTTATTCATGAGCTGCTATAATCAGAGACGCAGAGCGGTGTATAATTTGGATAATGAACACAACACATTCACAGATTAAAGATTCAAAGGCACATTTGATGCTGAAATCAAAACAAAAATGGCAAATTCAATAGTAAGAGATGAACATCGAACGTGAAAAAAGGGGTTTAGTGTTTTACTTTGATACTTGAAAGGATAATAATAATAATTCTAAAAGCCACACAGTATTAGCAGCACTTCAACTGAGTAAAAATGTATTGTTTTTGCTCATCTCTATTTAAAAAGGCATGTCAGCAAAATATTCATTCTCCTTTGGCTTAGTCTCTGTTTCAGAGCTCGCCACAGCGGAGTGAATGATATGTTTCTAAAGGATATATCGTTGTATTCGACTGTTTTTGTAAGTACATCGAATATTCTAAGTTTTAGAATTTATTCTATATTTCATTATGAGTATCCTTTTTTATTTCTTTCTTTATTAAAATAAATACTTTTATTAAAAAAACATTTTGCGCCCTATCATACACCCGGCACAATGTGGCGCAAAGTGCGACGCAATAGTTGTTTGCTAGTTTCAGCTTGGTGCAGGAGTTTTTTTGACGTTTTGCGCCAACTGTTTAAATAGCAAATGCATTTGCGCTCATATGTGCGCCCATAGGCGTTCTGGTCTACTGTCCAGCGCAGAGCGCGTTAGTTGTGCGCCTCGCTTACACACTTCTTAATACACACAAAATGTAGAACAATACGCAAATATCTTTACATATGAAAAAGAATTTAAATATAAAGGATATATATATATAAGATATAATAAGGATATACAGAGGATATAAATATAAAGGATTAAAATATTACAAAACATATAATTTTCTAGCCTACATAAATATAAAAACCAGGCCTTCTTCATCTCGGGAGGCTTTTTCAATTTATTCATGACAATTTGCTTTTTTATAATGTTATTATTATTAGCAGTATTATTTATTATGTGCATATTTATATTTGTTTTATTAAAAACAAGCTTAGATTTGCCCACCTGTCAGGTTTCAGACCATATGGGGCACAGCATGTGTTTTAGGATATAACTCAGGTTTTGAACACACTTCGTTTTGATTGTTCATTTATTCGTTGCTGGAAATTAGAACTGAATTTAGAAATAGTTTTGAAACATATATTTGTGCCTAACAAACAAAATTAATTATTTATAGGCTAATTGATGTCTGTGCGTACAACACGTTTCCCCATCCACGAGAGCGAAAGTGAAAGTGGATAATTTATCTCTCATTTTCGCGCTGCAGATGCTCTGTTTAACTGTTTGCTTGTGAAATGCTCAGTTTCTCCACCTACACTTACTTCACGTCATGTAAATAGCAAATGCACTATGGCACGACGCAACTGACTCTTAAAGGTATTGGGAGATGAAACTCTGATTGGTTTATTCTCAAAACACACCTATAACTCATAAGGAAAATAAGCTGAACCTTTTTAGATCATGCGCCACGGCGCAAAGCGGATTTTTCCATCCTTATATAAGCACATATGGATTCCGACACGCCCTGAATGCGTTTGCGCCCTGCGCTTTGCACTTTGCGCATGGAACGTTAAAATAGAGCCCTTTATCTTTTGGAAAGGGGGCAGCACAGTGGCACAGTGGGTAGCACAATCGCCTCACAACAAGAAGGTCGCTGGTTCGAATCTCGGCTGGGTCAGTTGGCATTTCTGTGTGGAGTTTGCATGTTCTCGCTGTGTTCGCGTGGGTTTCCTCAGGATGCTCCGCTTTCCCCCACAAGTCTAAAAGACATGTGGTATAGGTGAATTGGGTAATCTAAATTGTCCGTATGCAGATAGTGGTTATGTCCGTGGGCGCTGCAGATAATCCGGAGGTCGGGTAATTAAAAAAACAAAACATTATGATTAGTTTCAGGTGCGTCACGCGTTTATGAGTTTAATTATTAATGATTTAATTTAATTATAATTATAATAATAATGGAGGCGAAACAGATCCAAGAGAAACTTAAAAAGGGAGAATTAAAAGCAAAAGGAAGGAAAGAAAAGTGCCGCAGGGGAAACTTTTAGCAAAAGTTAACGTGTTGAATCAAGTGCTGGGCATGAAATAGGCCAGGGGTGTCCAAAGCCGGTCCTGGAGGGTTGGTGTCCTGCTGATCTTAGCTCCAACTTGCTTCAACACACCTGCCTGGAAGTTTACAGTATACCTAGTAAGAGCTTGATTAGCTTGTTCAGGTGTGTTTGATAAGGGTTGGAGCTAAACTCTTCAGGACACGGCCCTCCAGGACCTGGAATAGGCTATGGAACGGCTATAAAGAGGCGACAGTGCCACAGCACGAAGGTGGCTGGTTGGAGCCCCGGTTGGGTCAATTGGCGTTTCTGTGTGGAGTTTGCATGTTCTCCCCGTGTTGGTGTGGGTTTCCAATGGGTGCTCCGGTTTTCCCCACATGTCCAAAAAAACATGCGGTACAGGTGAACTGGGTAAGCTTAACTGTCCATTGTGTATGTGTGTGAATGAGTGTGTATGGATGTTTCCCAGCGTTGGGTTGCACCTGGAAGGGCATCCGCTGTGTAAAACATATGCTGGATAAGTTGGCAGTTCATTACGCTGTGGCAGCCCCAGATTATTAAAGAGACTAAGCCGAAAAGAAAATGAATGAATGAAGAAATATTGTAATAAATGTATTGTTCATTGTTTGTTTATGTTTATTAATGCCTTAGCTAGCATTAACTAGTACAACCTTGATGTAAAGTGTTACCACAGTATTATAGACATTCATTGATCCATTCGTTTATTGAAAGAGCTGCATTTTCTGTAATTTTGTCCTATTCACTAGCATTAGTTTGCACACAGTGTTGTGTTTTACGAAGGTTAAATCATGCCGTCCTTCAGCTGTCAGTCTCATTTTGAGCATCTGTGTATACGTGAGCAGAATACCGGTGTGTTTTCTCAGGCCGCTGGCTTTGTTTTATCGATTACCTGTCATCTGAGCCGTCATGGCCGACAGATCGGCATCTTTGCTGAAGATGCTCCTGATGCCCAGCTGCTGCAGAGACTCTCTCAGATCAATCTTCTGCTCCACCTTGAATCTGAAATGACCCCAAAGATCGAGTCAGAGTGAACTTCATCCAGATACAACAGCTGCATGCGGATGAATGTAAAGCGAAAGTGTTAAGAGAGGTAATGATGTGGAATTGTTATTAATGTATTTTTGAGGTTCTCTTGTAACATTATTTAAGTACAGTTGAAGTCATAATTATTAGCCCTTTTTTCCTTTTCAAATATTTGTTCAAATGATGTTTAACAGAGCAATGATTTTTATCACAGCATGTCTGATAATATTTTTTCTTAAACAGAAAGTCGTATTTGTTTTATTTCGGCTAGAATGAAATCAGTTTTTAATTAAAAAAAAAAACATTTTAAGGTCAATATTTTTAGCTTCCTTAAGCAATATTTTTTTCCTTGGCCTCTATTACTGTCATTTAAAAAAAAAAGAAACAGTAATTTTGAAGAAAAGAAACAATCTGACTTTCTCCAGTATTCAGACGTTTGTGCTAGAAATGTATGCAAGTTAGTGCATTTAGTAAAACAATGCCTCATTTATTTATTTAAAAATAACATCTTAGAAAACCTGTACTTACTATGAAACATGTAAGGCAAAAGTTTGTTAATGTAATGTAATGTTTCTTATTGTAATCAATAAACTGGGTAAGCATAGTGCTAACTAATTTCGTTAACAAAAATATTGATGATGAGATGACTAAGACGAGATGTAGACTGGACTAATGGGTAGTGATCATTAGATACTAGCATTCACTACAATCGATATGCAATTTCGTTGATGACAAAAGATGGGACTAAATTGTGGGGAAAAAAAACAACAACATTTTTAGTGATAATAATTGAGTAATTTAATGTACAGATAAATCATAAATGAGAAGAAATGTGGGGAAAATAACATATTTTTGGAAGCAGATTGATTGAAAGATTAATTCATGTACTACTTTGTACTATTTTGAATAATGACCATAACCGAAACAGCAGGAGCATTTTTTGTTTGTTTGTTAGTTTGTTTGTTTACTTTGCATGTACAGTGCTTCCGAAAAGTATTGATAGCGCTTCACTTTTAACACTTTTTTTTTTTTAATGTTATAGCCTTATTCCAAAATTCATGTATTTCCTCAAAATTCTACACATAATAGCCCATAAAGAAAATGTAAAAAAAAAGAGTTTTTGAAATTGTTGGAAATTTAATAAAAATAAAAAAATAAAAAAACTGAAAAATCACATGTACAGAAGTATTCACAGCCTTTGCTCAATACTTTGTTGGCAGCAATTACAGCCTCAAGTCTTTTTGAATCTGATGCCACAAGCTTGACACACCTGTCTTTGGGAATTGTTCCCCATTCCTCTTTGCAGTACCTCTTAAGCTTTGTCAGTTTGGATGGGAAGCGAGTGTGTAACGCGATTTTCAGATCACTACAGAGATGCTCAATAGGATTTATGTGTGGGCTCTGGCTGGGCCATTCAAGGACATTCACTGAGTTGTTGTGAAGCCACTCCATTGATATTTTGGCGATGTGCTTTGGCTCATTGTCCTGCTGGAAGATGAATCGTCGCCCCAGTCTGAGGTGAAGAGCACTCTGAAGCAGGTGTTCATTCAGGATGTCTCTGTACATTGCTGCATTCATCTTTCCCTCTATCCTGACTAGTCTTCCAGTTACTGCTGCTGAAAAGTATCCCCACAGCATGATGCTGCCATAACCAAGCTTTACTGTAAGGATGGTATTAGACTGGTGATGAGCGGTGCCTGGTTTTCTAAAAAAACGTAACGCCTGGCATTCACTCCAAAGAGTTGAATTTGAGTCTCATCTGACCAGAGAATTTTGTTTCTGATTGTCTGAGAGGCTTCCATCTGGCCACTCTACCATACACTCTACCATCTGATTGGTGGATGGTTGCACAGATGGTTGTCCTTCTGTAAGGTTCTCCTCTCTCCACAGAAGAACGCTGGAGCTCAGATAGAGTGACCATCGACTAAGGCCCTTCTCCCCCGATCACTCAGCTTAGATGGTCGGTCAGCTCTAGGAAGAGTCCTGGTGGTTCCAAACATCTTCCACTTATGGATGATGGAGGCCACTGTGCTCACTGTAACTTTCAGAGCAGCAGAAATTTTTCTGTAGTCTTCCCTTGCCTTGTACCTCGAGACAATCTTGTCCTGGAGGTCTACAGACAGTTCCTTTGTCTTCATGCTTGGTTTGTGCTTTGACATGCACTGTCAGCCCTGGAGACTTATATAGACAGGTGTATGGCTCTTCAAATCATGTTCAATCAACTGAATTGACCACAGGTGAACTCCAATGAAGCTGATGAAACATCTCAAGAATGATCAGTGGAGACAGAATGTACCTGAGCTCAATTTAGAGCTTCACGCCAAAGACTGTGAATACTGATGTACATGTGATTTTTCAGCTTTTTTGTTTTGAATAAATTTGCAACAATTTCAACAAATCTTTTTTTCACATTGTCATTATGGGGTGTTGTGTGTAGAAGTATGAGGAAGTAAAATAATTTAATCAATTTTGGAATAAGGTGGTAACATACACAAATGTAGGAAAAAGTGAAGCGCTATCAATACTTTTCATATATATATATATATATATATATGTGTGTGTGTGTGTGTGTGTGTGTGTGTGTGTGTATAGTTTTAGTTTGTGTATTTAATAAATGCAGCAATGGTGTGCTTGTAATGAATTTTGTATTATTATAAAAGAGTGTATTGCAAATGTGTAAAAAACTGAAAACAAACTAAAATATAAAAACATTGTGGCCAAAAATATGAATAAACTTAAATTGCATACAAGTCAAAAAGATGTAGACTCTAACTAAATAAGGATTTGCTGTAAACATTAACACTGCAGGTGAACAGGATTAAAAGAATAACTAATAACAATGACTTGCCTTATGGGAAACATTGATCTCTTAAATCTCAAAGCTTAGATTCCTCATATCATGACTCCTCTAGTAAATGTGGTTTTAAAAAAGTGTGTGTCTGACCTGGGCAGGTAAACCTCCACCTTCTGCCTCTTGACGTTGTTGGCCCATTCCTCCAGCAGCGGCGCTTTAATGATGGGCTCCAGCGAGGCAAGAGGAACCTCCTGACGGGGCAGGACGATCATCATGCTCATGTCTTCGCCCTCATAGAGCATCTCCAGCACCTGGTAAACTCCACCAGCCTCTGTGGTGCCGTCGCTGAACTCACCTGAGCACAAACAACACAGACGGGTTAGTGAGCTACAGTGCTGCAGGTACAGTAGGCTGGAGATTCAGCAGCGTTAGTTCTCTAGCAGTGATATACTGTTGTAGTGCTTGTTTTTAACATTTTCTTTTCTTGTGTATCTTTATTTATACAGTTGAAGTCAGAATTATTAACCCCCCCCCCTGTATATTTTATCACCAATTTTTGTTTAAAAGAGAGAAGATTTTTAGTAACTCAGTTTCTAATAACTGATTTTTTTCATCTCTGCCATGATGACAGTACATAATATTTTACTAGATGAATATTACTAGTATATTTACTAGTATTCAGTTTAAAGTGACATATTTAAAGGCTTAACTAGGTTAATTAGGTTAACTAGGAAGGTTAGGGTAATTAGGCAAGTTATTGTATAATAATGGTTTATTAATTAATGGTTGATTTAAAAAACATAGGGAAGGGCATCTGCTGTGTAAAAACGTGCTGGATAAGTTGGCGGTTCATTCTGCTGTGGCGACCCCAGATTAATAAAGGGACTAAGCCGAAAAGAAAATTAATGAATGAAAATTGCTTAAAGGGGCTAATAATTTTGACCTTAAAATGTTTTATATATATATATATATATATATATATATATAAACTGATTTTATATAGCCAAACTAAAGCAAATAAGACTTCTCCCAGAAGAAAAAAATATTATAAGAAAAACTGTGAACATTTCCTTGCTCTGTAAGACAGCATTTGGAAAATATTTAAAAAAGAAAAAACATTCACAGGAGGGCGAATAATTTTGACTTGTACTGTAAATAACATTTTAATGGCACTTAGTTTATTGTAATATTTTACAAAAAAATAAAAATAACGAATTAATAAAAAATAAAAAATTTTATACTGAAAAGATAAAAAAGCTATTTGTAATTTATGAATAATGTGTAATATTGCAAATCATGCATACATATGCTAGTCGTACATATATTATAAAATATTAAAAAATATAAAGAATAAAGGGAAGCTGAAGGAAAATGAATGAATGAATGATGTCAAAAAATATTGAACCTAACAAATTGGCATTCCAATTGAATAACTTGATAAATGAAAAATTAAGTTAAAATAAATTAATTTCATCACTTCACTTAAGCTATCAGGGAAGGCAAATTTTCAGTGAATATTTTTTTTCAAGTAAATTATTTTTTGTGCACTTAAAAAAATTAATTTTGCTGCTCGTTTAAATTACTTATTTTAAATGAGATGAAACAACTCAATTCTTAAGCTTTTTTGGGGGAAAACTTAATTGTTTTATGTTCAATCCACTTAAATTTGTAAAAATGAGTAAAACCTAATAGATTTGTGTTGGGACAACATGAAGGATTTATATGAAATCCAGAACTTTTGACTGTGTAATGATTTTTTTTTCTGTGGTTCTGTGCTCTGCGAATTTCAATTGTCCTCAATTAATCTGTTTTTTTAAGGATGATGAAAACCAACCACTGTCTCTGAGTGAAAATACAGTGTTTAATATTTCTCCCTTTTCACAGCTCTGACTCTTGCCTTTTCCCACTCAGTTTGTGCTGCTGTGTTTATAAACTCCTCCAGAGTCCCCCTCCTCCCACATTTACCTTCATCTGTCTTTCTCCTTTTCTTTTTGTTTGTCAGAGATGAATGAGAGTAACTCACTGCAGTTATTCTGCAGGATCTGAAAAAAACTCACCCATACAGACATAGATATATTCTAGCCTTATCTCAAGAGGAAGCAAAACTATTTTAAGTTTTGTCAGTTTAGTGGCTAATTCATATGAATTCATTCGAGTGCAGTCGTGCAAAAATGTACGGTTTTAAAAAGGAGGCATATCACCAACCTCCGCCCCTACACCCAACTGTCTTTGGGGGATCTTATATGATCGCAAATCATACCAAATGATGTTTAACAGAGCAAGGAAATGTTCACAGTATGTCTGATGATATTTTTTCTTCTGGAGAAAGTCTTTTTTGTTTTATTTCGGCTAGAATAAAAGCAGTTTAAATTTTTTTAACATCATTTTAAGGTCAAAATTATCAGCCCCTTTAAGCAATATTTTTGTGATTGTCTACAGAACAAACCATCATTATATAATAATTTGCCTATTTAACTTAACCTGCCTAGTTAACCTAATTAACCTAGTTAAGCCTTTAAATGCCACTTTAAACTGTGTAGAAGTGTCTTAAAAAATATCTAGTCAAATATTATTTACTGTCATCATGACAAAGATAAAATAAATCGTTTATTAGAAACAAGTTATTAAAACTATTATGTTTAGAAATGAGTTGAATAAATCTGCTCTATGTTAACCAGAAATTGGAGAAAAAATAAACAGTGGGGCTAACATATACACACTCACCGTAGTAAAAGTCCCCCTGCTGGTACATCATCAGGGTCTGCACTTCACTGCCGTCATCTCTGGTGAAGGAGAAAGTTCTGGTGTTTTCTGGCCTGAACTGGTTCTTCCAGCTGCCCCTGAAATAGACCGCATTCACCAGCATGATCATGGTGGAGCTGCTGAAGTCCTCCGCTGACACCAGATTCTGGATTTTGCCTGAAACCACAGACAAACAGAAATCCAGAGTGAAAGATAAACACCACGTCACAATCCTCTCCATCTCAGAAAAGAGAGACGGCATTAAATCATCTCTCTCTGGGGTTTGTGCTGGAATCTGACTAGGATAAAGAATGAAGCCAGAAATAGAAATGGAGATGTCATTATGATGCAGAATATTACGGATCTGCCATTATCTGCTCTCGTGTCCTTCTTCACTAAAGTCACAGTAATTCCTCTTAGCGCCGTCTGGTCATTTTGAATGTAAAAATCACTCTAAATTGGATTTGGAGCTGACTATATTCAACAGCTGAATGACATATTCCTGCACGGGTCAACATTTTGGTGTCCTCATCAAATTAAATTTGAAGTGATTTTTATGTACAGTTGAAGTCAAAATTCCTGTAATTATAATTATATATATATATATATATATATATATATATATATATATATATATCCCGAATGGGGCAGCACGGTGCCTCAGTGGTTAGCACTGTTGCCTCACAGGCAAGAAGGTCGCTGGTTCAAGCCCTGGCTGGGTCAGTTGTCATTTCTGTGTGGAGTTTGCATGTTCTCTGTGGTTTTCCTCCGGGTGCTCTGGTTTCCCCTACAGTCCAAACACATGCGCTATAGGTGAATTGAATAAGCTAAATTGACCGTAGAGTATGCGTGTGAATGCGAAAGTGTATGGATGTTTCCCAGAACTGGGTTGAGGCTGGAAGGGCGTCTGCTGCTTAAAACATATGCCGGAACAGTTGGCGGTTCATTCCGCTGTGGCGACCCCTGATAAATAATGGCCCTAACCCAAGTGAAAATGAATGAATTTGTGTTTCCCAATTGATATTTAACAGAGCAAGGAATTTTTTTACACTATTTTTCCTATACTTTTTTTTTCCTATAAAAAACATTCTTTTACATCCCTACCGTATTTTTTACAGTAAAATTCCAACCACATCTGCCATCTTTTAACCGAAATTTAGCAGATTTTTTTTTAACAGTGTGGCTAAACATTTGCAAAGTGTTACTAAGCTACATTGTGTAGATTTTAGTACTACAAAAACATTGCTGCGCTATTAATGAACGAATATGGTAATTTACTTTCAAATTGAAGTTTCTTTTACATTACTAACATGTATTTATTCGTAAAATTTTAACCTCAAGTGCTGTCTTTCATATCGTACATTTTGAGTATTGTGTTCAACAGTGTAGCCAAACATTTTGCAACGTTGCAGAGTGTTACAAAGTGTGAAACAAAGCTGTAGTACTACAAAAAATTGTTGGACAATAAATTTATTAAATATGTTAATTTACTGTAAGATGTTGAAGTTTCTCTTATTACGTTCCTACCATATTTTTATAGTAGAATTTCAATCACAGCAGTCGTCTTTTAACCGAAATTTTGCAGACTTCTTAACAACAGTGTAGCTAAACTTTTGCAAAGCGTAACTAAGCTACGTTGTGAAGATGTTAATACTACAAAAAATTGCTGGACTATAAATGAATGAAATATGGTAATTTACTGTAAAATTTAGAAGTTTCTTTTACATTCCTACCATGTTTTTAATAGTAAAATTTCAACCACAGCTGCTGTCTTTTTACCGTAAATTTTGCGTATTGTGTTCAACAGTGTGGCCAAACCCTTTGCAGTGTTACAAAGTGTGAAACAAAGTTATGTTGTGTAGATGTACAAAAAAAATTGCTCGACTACAAATTTATGAAATATATTATTTTATATTATATTTATTTTACAAATATGGTAGGAACATAAAATAAACCAGCGTTTTATAGTAAAATACCATATTTCATAAATTTGTAGTCCAGCAATTTTTTTTAGTACATCTACACGACATAACTTGAGAACATGCAACCTCCGCACAGAAATGCCAACTGAACCTGCCAGCGACCGTCTTGAATGAGGTGACAGTGCTAACCACTGAGCCACCATGCCGCCTAAAACTGAAAATGGTTTGAGTAAGTAACAGGGACTCGGTCTGGAGTGAAATGTTAATCTGACTTACTCTCGGTGTGGTTGAGCACCCAGGAGTTGATGCGTTCAGCGACGGCTGTGGACTGGCTGAAATCCACCGTCTCCACCTCGGCTCTAAAGTACTTCTTCATGAGCTGCAGGAAGTCTTCATTGAAGTGGACCCCCGACTGCAGGAACAGCGAGTTGGCCAGACGGACCACGTACTGCTCCTCATCTGTGGACAGTGCCTGGCTCAGGTTTCTCAGCAATGAGAACTCTTCATCTGGAGCAGGTCAGCAGAACAACACATACAGTCAGAATTATTAGCACCTTCAAAAATATTATAAAATATTATACAAAAATTATACCTTCAAAAATATTTTACAGTTTAAAAAATGATAACCGTCACTAGAATCAGTTTCCTATTGAAAATACAATTACAATTGCCTTTTTATTGTAACATAATACAATAAATACAATAATGTTGCTTTTACAGCAAAATGAATAAGAACGCAGGTAACAACAAAAGGACGTTTTGACTAATGCGCATGTGGTGCTGTGGATAAACTTAAATCGTGACACCAATAGAGAGCAAACAACTTGCGTTTTTAATGTAACCTCAAGCAATATTCATGAGTGGTGACGGCGCAAAGAAATATTTCTTTTCAAATATTTCCCAAATGATGTTTAACAGAGCCAGGAAATTTTCACAGTATGTCTGATAATATTCTTTTTGTTCTGGAGAAAGTCTTATTTGTTTTATTTTGGCTTATTCGGGGGGTCTAATGTTAAAATATACAGTTAAAGTCAGAATAATTAGCCCCCCTTTAAATTATTATTATTTTTTTTTAAATATTTACCAAATCATTTGTAAGGAAATTTTCACTGTATGTTTGATAATATTTTTTCTTCTGGAGAAAGTCTTATTTGTTTTATTTCGCCTAGAATAAAAGCAGTTTTTAAATTTTTTAAAAACATTTTAAGGTCAAAATTATTAGCCCCTTTTAAGCTATATTTTTTTCGACAGTCTCTTTCTATTTAACCGAGGCACATTTCTAAACATAATAGTTTTATATAACTCATTTCTAATAACTGATTCATTTTATCTTTGCCACGATGACAGTAAATAATATTTAACTAGATATTTTTCAAGACATTTTTTACAGCTTAAAGTGATATTTAAAGGTTTAACTAGGTTAATTAGGTTAACTAGGCAGGATAGGGTAATTAATTATTGTATAATGATGTTTTTTTTCTGTAGACTATCGAAACAAAATATAGCCTAAAGGGGCTAGTAATTTTGTCCTTAAAATGGTGTTTAAAAAGTTAAAAACTGCTTTTTTTCTAGCCTAAATTATGCAAATCAGACTTTCTCCAGAAGAAAAAATATTATCAGACATACTGTGAAAATTTCCTTGCTCTGTTAAACATAATTTGGGAAATATTTAAAAAAGAAAAAAAAAAAATCAAAGGGGGCCTAATATTTCTGACTTTAACTGTGTGTGGGGTAGACATTGGGGAGGGGTAGACATTAATAAAATACAATTAATAGGTATTTTAATAAATAATATAAACAAAATTCTCGTTATATTACAGTTTATACAGTACTGTGAGGGTGGGGTTTACGGTTGGGGTAGGGATAAATGTAAATAAAATCAAATTTAAAAGATAATTTAATAAATTATACAAATAATTCTCGTTGCATCACTGTTTACTGTAAAAAATGCAGGGTTCCACACAATTCATTCAAGTTATCCCAACACAAATCGATTAAGTTAACTAAACACTTTTAACAAATTTATGTGGATTAAAGTTGTCCCAATGAAATCTCAAGATTTGTGTTGTTTCAGCTCATTTTAATTAAGTAGTTTGAAATATTTTTTGGAGTGTGCATTACTGTGACGGTTGGGATAGGGGTAGACATTTGTAAAATACAATTAATGATTAATTGAATAAATAATATAAATAGGTGACAGTTTTGTTTGTTTGACTGATTTTTTTGTTTGTTTCATTTATCTAATTATAAATATCTGTATCATAACTATAAACAAGACAAACACAGGTCACATACAGTAGTTCTTTACAGTATTTTAACCTAAAATGGTCTTAAACTGAACTTTGTAAAACCTCCAGTTATGCTTAAACTAATACCTAGATTTTTTTGTGTGCTTTAAATCCAACATTGCAATCTTATAATCAGACCTGTCACAGACATTTGCAATGCCTAATAAAAGTTAAATTCGGCAACATGTTAGTTTAGGTCATCATTAACTATACTATCAAACCATTAAGTACTACTTTAATATCTACAATAGTTCTGTTTATTAAGAGTTAGTAAGGTAAAAGTGGGGTTTAGGTTTTGGGTAGGATTAAGGACGTACAATAAGATCATACTTTAATGAACAGTTAATAACTTAATAATCTGCAAGTAATCCAGTAATATATGGCACAAATTGTGAACCAAAGTGTTACCAAAAAAATAGTAAGAAAAGTGTGCGGTCGTTGTTCTGGCAAATTGAGCATTTACTATACGTTTGACATCAGATGACTGCACCTTCTCTGAAGTGACTGTAGCCCACGGCCTGTCTGATCTCCTGTAAAGAGGAGCCGCGGGCGCCCAGCTCCACCATGCCCAGAGCCAGAGCCACGCTGAGCGGAGAGAAGATGATGTTCTCCTCCCCGCTGCTGATCTGGAGCTGGTGGTAGAGGCGGACGGAGAACTCTGCCGTCACGTCTTCGGGAACGTCTGACGCCTGACAAAAGCATCCACGCAGGAGCAGCAGCGGTGGCAACACAACCAGCAGCAGCATGATGGAGGACCAGCTGAAAGAGACGAGGAAAGAAGAATTATTGAATCATTTTAAAATCAATTATTAGCCTCTTTTTAGGCAGTATGTTTTTCGATTGTCTACAGTGCAAACCATCATTATACAATGACTTGCCTAATTAGCCTAACTAGTTTAATTAACCTAGGTAATGGGCTATATGCACACAGACTGTTATTATTCCGACAGCCAGCCCAACAGCTTCCTGTGAACTGTCTTTCCATTACAAAACTGAACGGTTTAAGGTCTGATTTCTTTAAAATGATGTTGCCTGATTGATAAGTAGGTCTCAGACCCGTTAAGTTCCATTTCAACCTGCCATGTGTTTAAAATATGAACATTTATATTAGTTACATTTGTTTTAAATGGACTTTCTGCACTCGCCTGGTGCTCCTGATGGTGCTAGAGTTTAAATGATCTATCATCCCGTTTCATGCTTGAACAACTAAATGAATGCTTAAGTATATTAGCTGATTGTATTTTAATTATATCACAATGTCGATGCTGTGAAAAGAAACTTAAAAGAATTTTAAATAGTCACATTAACCTTTCACCAGAAGTTTACCGTTGGCTGAAGAACACTAGCTGTGCTTATAGCCCGTTGCCTGTTAAGCTGAGTATCTAATATCAGTACTATTACTGTCATCGTCGCAAAGGTAAAATAAACAGTTATTAAATATTAGTTATTAAAACTATTATGTTCAGAAATATGTTGAAAAAAATCATCTTTCCATTAAACAGAAATTGGGGAAAATATACACTACCAGTCAAAAGTTTGGGGTTGTTTTTTTTTTTTTCATGTTTTTTTTTTTTAATAAAATTATTCTGTTTATCAAGGCAGAATTTTTTAAATGCAAAAAAAGTTAAATTGTTATATTGTTCTTCATTAAATATCTATTTATTACTTATTTGTCCAGTCATTATTGCTTTTATTACTATTACCATTAATAATAATAATAATAATAATAATAATAATAATAATAATAATAATAATAATAATAATAATAATAATAATAATTAATATTAGAGTGATTTCTGAAGGACCATGTGACTCTGAAGACTGGAAGCTGAAAATTCATCATTAAAATCTCTGGAATAAATGATTAAATTAAATGATAAACTACTTTTGAACTGTTATTTTATAGTGCAATAACATTTCACAATTTTACAATTTGTACTGTATTTTTGATTAAATAAATGCAGCCTTGATGAGCAGGAGAAGCGTATTTTAAACTTTTTTGACCCCAAACTTTTGACCGGTAGTGTACATAATTCAGGAGGGTTAATAGTTCTGACTTCAACTATAGTTAGTCGAAACCAATAATCAAAACCAGTATTGTAGACGATTAACCATGTGTACATTCTAAGAATGTTACATTTTAATTAATAATTAATTACCAAATCACCTGTTTAAAACAGGTCACTAGTTTGTTTGTTTTTTTGTTTTTTTTTTTACATCAAATTAGTTTTACTGCTATTCAACAAGGTGGCATGGTGGCTCAGTGGTTAGCACTGTCACCTCACAGCAAGAACGTTGCTGGTTCAAGTCCCGGCTGGGCCAGTTGGTATTTCTGTGTAGAGTTTCCATGTTCTTCCTATGTTGGTGTGGATTTCCTCCAGTTGTTCCGGTTTCCCCCACAGTCCAAAGACTTGTGCTATGGGTGAATTGTATGAACTGAATTAGCCGTAGTGTATGGGTGTGTGTGTGTGTGTGTGAATGAGTGTGTATGGGTGTTTCCCAGTGCTTGGTTGCAAGTGGTAAAACATATGCTGGATAAGTTGGCGGTTCATTCCGCTGTGGCAACTTTTGAAATGTAGACTAAGCTGAAGGAAATTGTATGAATGAATGCCATTCAACAATGAGTGCGTTTACATGGACCGCAATAATCCAATTTTAATATGATGAAGACAATACTCTGATAAAGAGATTACCATGTAAACAGAGATTTTTGTTTAATTTAATCCAACTAAACTCATAATCGAACCAAACAGAAATATAATTAAGACATGGAGTATGATTTTAGTCGCATTATTGAAGTGCAGTACAGACATGTAAACAGCTTAATCAAATTATTACCGTCGTGTAGGATTTTTGCCGCATTTTGCGACAGGATAGTCTATACAAACAGGGTATCTTCCGTCCATTCCATATCCGTTTTCAAACAAAAAAAGGAAAACTAAGAAAACTTAGTTTATATATATATATATATATATATATTTTAAATTAATAATATATAATATATATAATTAAATAATAATAATTAAAAGCCCTGGTATGGTCTCTTATTTTGAGGGCTACATTACAAGCTCAGATTTGGTTGACGAATCAGAGGAAAATAGGCGTTTTAGCACCGCCTACATGTGTATAATAAATTTTAAAGTTGTTTTTCTGTTTTCCTGCACTAAATTAACAAAAAGATAAACAAAATCGAGCCAAAATCTTGTTTTTTGTAGTTTTCTTGTGAGCAAAAAATAAAAAAAATAAAAATAAAAGTTTATTTCTTTATTTTCTGTTTTTGTTTGAAAACAGGTATGGAATGGACGGAAGATACCCTGATTCTATACACATGGCTGACATTTTTCTCTGCACCTATTGAGTCAGTGAAGGACCACAGACTCCAGCATCACAAAATGCGGAAGTTTTTTTCCCATCTGCAAATTTTATTAAAACAACACTCTTCCAGCAGGTCATACGCTCATCCAATATCTCGTTTGTCAAGGGGGGCATGCATCAAATGTTCCTGAATGAAAGTGAAAGTGCCAAACTGCAGTAAAAGTTGACAAATTAAAAACGAATCACCCAAAATTACATGAAACATGATGCAATGACGCTAATCAATCTATGTGCTATAACATGTAAAACGGGATCATGAAAAGAACATTTAAAAAGCCACTCATGTAAACACCTTAATCTTAATATTGTCTTATTCAGATTAAGGCAAATAATTTGATTACTGATGTCCATGTAAACATAGTCAATGAGAGAATTACATTGTGTTTCTCTTCAAATGGTTACTGGTGCAGCTCTGCATTAATGTACGGAATTTGAATAGAACAGAAGTCTGCTGCATTATTGAGGTAAAACAGGTTCCAAAGAGGGTTAATGCGTCTGTTTCTCTCTGACTGCACCACCATACCTGCTCACACACATTCAGCAACACTGATTTAGCTCTACCTTCAGCCTGGCGTGCCTCAGTCTCTCTGCTTCAGCCGTTGCCTGGCAACAGTGTTTTCCACACAAACAAAGAATGCAGGGGAGAATGTGGCCTTGTGCCATTGTGCGATGGAGAGGGAGAGAGAGAATGAGTGTGTGGACAGGTTGGGCTGAAGTATGTGTGTGTGTGTTTGTTTACTAAAAATATATATTTTTGCTGCATGTTTAAACTACTTATTAAAAATCAGATGAAACAACACAATTTTTGCCATTTTTTGGGACAACTAAGTAGTTTTAAGTTCAATCTACTTGAATTTGTTGTTGACTGGAGGCTTTTGGAAAACGATGCATTTTAGTCATGTGACCAATTCATGATTAAACTACGGTTGTTGCTAGATCAGATACGGTTGTGGCCAGAAGTTATCACGAATTATTTATAATTTCCCATCAATTGTATTTTATTAACGTCCACCCCTCCCCCAACCCTAAACCCAACCATCACAGTAATGTAAAAACAGTAGTTGTATCGAGTATTCATTCATTCATTTTCTTGTCGGCTTAGTCCCTTTATTAATCTGGATTCGCCACAGCGGAATGAACCACCAACTTATCCAGCAAGTTTTTACGCAGCGGATGCCCTTCCAGCCGCAACCCATCTCTGGGAAACATCCACACACACACACACACTCATACACTACTGACAATTTAGCCTACCCAATTCACCTGTCCCGCATGTATTTGGACTTTGGGGGAAACCGGAGCACCCGGAGGAAACCCACACGAAGGCAGGGAGAACATGCAAACTCCACACAGAAACGCCAACTGAGCCAAGGATCGACCCAGCGACCTTCTTGCTGTGAGGCGAACGTGCTAACCACTGCGCCACTGCATCACCCTGTATCGAGTATTATTTATGTTATCTATTAAATAACCCAATAAACTGTATTTATTAACGTCTACCCCTCCCCCAACCCTAAACTCGACCATCACAGTCCTGTAAAATATGAATTATTGTTCAACAGTGTCACAAAAATTATGCTATATTGATGTGCGTATCCACAGCTGTATCCCTTCTAGACTTTCCCTTAAACAACTTATTTAAATTGAGCTGAAACGACACAGTTCTTGAGATTTACTTAGTAGTTTTAAGTTTAATCCACTTAAATTTGTTGTTGACTGAAGGCTTTTGAAAAAAATGATGCATTTTGTTCATGTGACCAATTTATGATTAAACTACTCTTTTTTTTAAACTACGGTTGTTTAAAAACAGTAGTTTTACAGAGTATTATTTGTGTTTTTTATTAAATTATCCAGTAAATTGTTTATGCCTACCCCCACCCTAACCCTAAACCCAACCGTCATATTACTGTAAAAGTATATATTTTTTTGTTTTTCAGTGTCATAAAAATTACGCTATATTGAAGTGCATATCTGCAGCTTATCCTATCTAGACTTCACCTTAAACTACTTATTTAAATTGAGCGGACACAACACAATTCTTGACAATTTACTTGGTAGTTTTAGGTTCAATCCACCTTAATTTGTTGTGGACAGAAGGCTTTTGGAAACGATGAAGCATTTTAGTCATGTGACCAATTTATAATTAAACTAAAATTGTTGCTAGATCAGATACGGTTGCGAATGGAAGAGAATTAACAAGAATTATTTATATTATATATTAAATGTCCCATTAATTGTATCTTTTAACATCTACCCCCCCCACCCCCAAACATAAACACAACAGTAATGTAAAAACAGTAGTTTTACCGAGTATTATTTATGGTATTTATTAAATTATCCAATAAATAATATTTTATTATTATCATGTGACCAATTCATGATTAA